CAGCAGAGGCAAAGGAGATGCAGTACCACAGCATAATGCAGAATGATCTGTATCATTACCTTAGTTTTGCATCTAAAAGTACAGCAAAGTGGTTGTAATGACAGCTCTCAGCCACCAGAAGTTCCACCTAAAATCATATATTGGGTTCCTGTGATGGACTTGGAGTTAATATTCTTCATAGTAGCTGCTATGGGGCTGTGTTTTGGATTTGTACTCAAAACAGTGTTGATCATCCTAGAATGGTTTGGGTTGAAAGGGACCTTTAGGATCATCTAATTCCAACCTCCTGTCATCAGCAGGGACACCTCCCACTAGACCAGCTTGCTCAGAGCCCCATTCTTCCTGGCCTCGAACACTTCCAGGGAATAGAGCAGCCACAGCTTCTCTGGGCAACCGGTGCCCGTGAACAGCAAGATGCTTTTGTTATTGCTGAGCAGTGCTCACACAGAGCCAAAGCTTTTGCTGCTCCCCACAGACCCTACCAGTAAGGGAGCTGGAGGTGTACAAGGAGTTGGAATGGGACACAGGCAGGACAGCTGACCCCAAATGACCCAAGGGATATCCAGCCTATATGGTGTCACGATCAGCATGTAAAGCTGGGGCAAGAAGAAAGACTAGAACATTGGTAACCATGGCATTTGTCTTCCCAAGCCACCCTTACACGTGATGGAGCCCTGCTGTCCTGGAGCTGAACACCTGCCTGCCCATGGCAAGTGGTGAACAAATTCCTCATTTTGCTTTCCCCAACAAACTGCCTGTCTCAGCCCGCTGGTTTGCTCACTTTTATCCTTCTGATTCTCTCCCCCATCCCACCAGGGGACAGTGAGTGCGTGGCTGCACGGGGCTGAGCTTCCAACTGGGCTTAAATCACAGCAGTTGCTTTTTAATAAACCCTATAAAAAACAATTTACTTCTGCAGGCATATCAACTAGCAAATTTTGTGAGTTAACACTGTGACCATCTTGACAGACGCTCAACTTTACTCCTTCCTAAGACATTCAAGATTGTCAAAACTGTAACCCTAGTCACAACATTGTACTTAAAGCAAGAATAAGCACCCACAAAGGCAAGACAATTATTCTTCATAAAATAAAATCTTCACCAGATAACTATAATTCATATACTTTTTTTTGAATGGTTGCAACTTTTAGATGAGCCACCAGCCAGAAAAATTAAGCTGTTTTATCACAGAGCTTTTATAAATAACAGACTGTTTCCAGATCTATCAGTTTATCCCACTATTCAATAGTGAGGGGTGAAATCAACACCATACATTCTTATTTTCCCAATCAAGTATGTTTCACATTACCCACAAAATCCCAACCTCTGTACAGTCGGTTAAAGCATCTAACATGCTACTAACATAGGTTAATTTGATATCTCAATTAGTCAGACTACTACTGAAAACTATTCATACCTGAGCACTGCTGTCCTCACTGTTTGCCTTGAAATTCTCAGTTAAGGAGAAGTAATACAGCAAAGTTCAAGTGCTGTCTATGTGATAACAAAAGTCTAAAAAGCCTCTAAGAAATAACTGATAGCTTCCTAGCTGTCAGCATCTGCTCAGCATCCCTTCCTGTACGGAAAGGTTATACCTTGCTTCCTTAATAATGAGCAAGTACTTTGTTCTACTTGTTAACAGGAAAGAAAATATGACTCTTATACAACTACTGAACAACATCCAAACTTAAGCTCCTTGTTCTCCTTGGGGATCATAATATAAAGAAAGTAACTTCTGCTGGCATCTCCCAAGAGTAACTCTTCAGACAAGACAATATAGGCCATGCTTAAAAAAAAATCAAACAAAAAAAAACCCCCACATTTTTAAACTGCTGATCATCAAAACATTTTTAAAGATAATTAAGGAAACCCTCAAACTACTGATTCCCTTACTTGATTGCGAAAGTAATATGAAGAAGAGTTACAAATAGGTTTCATGTCACAGTTGAGATTTAAGTCTTGCTCCAGTTTCTAAAAAATTCAGGAGAAAGAACCCAACACTTTGAGGTTCCATAGATATTTATTTAGATTTTATTATGTCACTGCAAATCCACTGTCAAGCAATGCTGGTATCAAAAGTGAAACTAACTGTACATTGCAAACTGAAATCAAAATTCTTTTGCATTCCAAGGAAAACTACACATAGTTGTAAATTACAGATATTTAGCAATAAAAGAATCCCTTCAGTATACCATCAGTGTTTAGCAACTTTATAACTTGTACCCTTAAAAACACCACCTTGAGGGCTACTTGAAGTAAAAATCATGCAGAAAACCTGGTCACTACAGACATTTTCCCAAAAACATAAAACACACCAGTAATAATGTGTACTACAGCCCAAGACCACAGACCAAGCCAAACAAATTGGTTTTATCAAAGGAAAAGATATCCAAGACACCCAACAACTATCAGACAAAACATCAAGATTTATCCAAGTTTGTTTGTCACACTTCCACACTTTCTTTTTTAGAGATGAGAATGATCTCTACACTTACATCAGCTACTCCAGGCACAAGCAAAGAACCCCAGTACTTCAGACATTACGTTTTCAGAAGCTGCATCTGCTCCCATTTGGGGGGAGTATTCTAAAGCAGGGAAAATAACCTGTCCCTTGCCAAACAGGAAGGGCAATACAAAGAAAAGTTTAAACATTTGACAGGAATCAAATCAACCCATAAAGCAAACTCCATAACACAAGTCATTTGAAGTCTTTTCAGGAAAGAGTCATGCAGTAAACACCAGCCTGTTGACAAACACCATCATGCAATTAAAAGTCATCAGAAATTATGATGTTTGAGGGTTTTTTTTAATAAAATGCATTATTTTTAAAACACAGGCTGCTATCTCACCCTTTCAGTTTCATTTATTTTGCAGTTCACACAACTAAATTACTCTTACATATCCACTCACTTCATGCCACACAGTGCATTAAGTTTTCTTTGCAAACACCACTTAAAATGACTGTTTTCACTAAAAAATTCAAACTTTTAAATGTGTTGGCAGTTTTTATTAATAAGTTTTGCAACAGTTTAACAAAACAACGTTTTTTCTAAGCGGTTTCTCAAAATCGAGAGTCCTTTATATAACATAAGAGGTACAGGAATGGTGGGGAATTAAACGTAAGTTTCCCACAAAGATAACCCTGTTTAAAGAATTTTGTAGATTTCAGCTGTCTCTTTCATATTGACAGACAACACGAGGAGGAAACACATGCATCATATTTCACTCCGTTTCAGCAGTGGCTGCTGTGAATTGACAGAACAGGACATCTGCACTTAGCAAAATACAACTTCCTTTATAAGAGGAAACACCTACACGCCGATTTAATCACATAACCCCCCTTCCCCGCCCCAGCCAGGGTGGGCTTGGCGGGGCAGGAGGCGAGAGGGAGCGCGTTTTGGGGAAGGGTAGCCGGGGCTGTGGGAGCAGGAGCAGCCCCGAGCCGGGATTCTCCAGCAGCAGGAAGTTTCCAAGGGGCCTCGCCGAGCATGCGCCGTGGGCTGCACGGGCTCCCTATGTGGCAAGAGTGCAGAGGCAACAACCAAACGAATAACAGAGACAAGAGATCAAGAGCAACAAGCTCCCTCCCCTCTGTATTCCTGCGGCCGCCTCCACACAGCCCTCCTTCCCCAGGCTGCTCTCTTGGCCCGGGCCTTCCCGCATCCATCGCGGGCAGCCGGGATTAGGGAGTCTGGCAGGCAAACCTGCTGCTGGAGAGGGAGGAGGAGAGGAGAGGAGAGCGGCTCGAAAGCGAACAGCGGAGTGCGTAACCTGTGCCTCCACCTCGCACGTCTCAGGTGGCGGCGGGGGAGCAGCAGCGAGCACACGGCGTGTCCCCCCCGCCACTGGAAGAGGGGATGGGGGAGGAGGAGGGGGAGAAAAGAGGGATGGAGGTGGCACACAATGGCTGGCTGTGTTTGTGGGGAGGAGACGGCCCGCAGCAGCAGCCGTGGGGGGGCTCAGGGCTTCTCCGTGACCCCCGTTCCTCATCGCAGATACACCGAGGTGACGGGGGGGGGGTCACTGGGGATCGGGAGACATTCCCATGTGATTGCATATGTGTGCGCCCTTCTTGCTTCGGGGGAGAGGTAAAAACGGGCAGAGACATTGGGGGGAGGGGGGGAGAGGCTGCGAAGCGCCCCCCAAGCTGTGGGGAACGGAGGAGGTGGAAGAGAGACCGGCTACCAGCGCCAAGCTGAACGAAAATAGTTATTTCGTCTTATGCCTGTTTTCTGCAAGGAGTCCCACCCGCACAGAGCTCGGGAACGAACCCAGGGAAGCGGGGGGGGGAGGGACGGAGGGGAGTCACAGGCGGTTCCAGAGGGAGCAGAGGGGAAGGGGAAGGCCCCCACCTCCTTCCCGTGCCCGCCGCGGGGGCAGGCAGCTCTCCCCCCAGCATACACACACAAATAGCTGCTCCCCCCCGAAAAAACAGAGAGAGAGGGCTCCCCTCCCCCCGGGAATCCCAGGCCCCTCCTCTCCCTCGGCGCGCTCCACCCCCGGGGCCGGGAGGAGGCGGGGGGGGGACAGCCCCGGCCCCCCCTCCGCCCCCCGGGCCCCCCCAGCCGGCCGCCCGGAGCGGGCGGGCGGGAGCGCTATGGGAGTCGCTTACCCTGGTCTCCGGGCTCCTGCGGCGGTTGCAGGACGCGCTCCAGCTCCGGGAAGGGCAGCTCGGGCAGGTCCAGCAGGGCCCCGTAGCGCTCGAGGAAGGAGCAGACAACGGCGAAGTTGGGCCAGGAGCCCGGGCAGCGCGGGCCCGCCGGGGCAGGGGGCGGCGGGGATGGGGCCGGAGGAGCCGCCGCCGCCGCCATCTTGGACCTGGGGATGGAGAAGGAGCTGGGGAGGGGGAGGGAGGAGGGGGCGCTGCCGGGCCGGGCCGCCACTATCCCACAATGCACCGGGGGGACGGTGAAGGCAGGGGAGGGCAGGGGGCGGCGGCCAGAGCGGCGCGAGCCGGCTCCCCTCCGCCGCGCGCGGCGAGGGGGAATGAAAACAAGGCGGGGCAGGGGCGGGGGTAGGCCCGCGGGCCGACCAATCGGAGAGGGCGGGGGGCGGGACCGGCGGATAGCGCTGCCCAATGAGAGCGTGGCAGGCTGGAGGCCCCGCCCCCTCCCCGCGGGGCCGGGCGGAGGCGGAGCCTGGCGGGGCAGCGGGGTCGCGCGCGCGGGGCGGTGAGTGCGGGCGCGCGAGGGAGCCTCGGCGCGAGGGCAGCGGGCGGCCCGTGTGTCCCGCGTGTCCCGCGTGTCCCGTCACGCCCGGCCGTGTGTCGGGCCGTCCTGAGCTGCGCCTTCCCTTCCCAGCTGCCTCCCTCCACCCCTCCCGCGGTGCTCCTCAGCGTCCTCCCTGCTCGTCTCCTCGCTTCTCTGCGCTGTACTCACAAAGTGCTGCTCCCCTCACTCTTCTCTCGCTGCCGGCTCCCCGTGACCGCCCCGGTTGGCTGCCGTCACAAGGCTCCCCAGCGGAAAGCAATTGCCGAATTCTCAAAGTGTGTTTTCCTCCTTCGTGAACTTGACCCCTTCCCTCTCCCTACACAGTTGATCTAAACTTCTCCCGTCCTTTCTATTCGCCTTGCTGCTGTCAGTTTTTAATCCTGACCTTCCTCTGGCTGCTGTATTCCCTGGAATGGGAAGTCGCCCGCCTCCTGACCCTGCTCCCCGGCAGCGCTGGAGAACCACGTTGTCGTCTGACACCTTACAAGAATTTGTTCTGCCCAAAACTTCACGTACACCGATTTACTCTACCCCTTGTATCCTCTTCAGTCTCAGGTTGCCCCTTGGATTTTACAAAACGTCCTTTCCTTCTTCAGCGTCTCAATAAGATGTCATCGGGTGCACTGCGCTCGTTCACCTCTTTTATTTCATTTGTTACTGGTTACCTCCACAGAAGAAAGGTGCGCTGGCAATCTTAAAGTCCACCCGCTTGCCCAACTGCAATTCAATCCCAGCTTTCTTCCGCTTCCTTCTCAGCTACTTTTGCCTTCTGCCATCCTTATCCGCCGCTTCATTTCCATCTTTCAGTATAGTCTCCTGGCATAAACATGCGTTTTGCCTCCTTTTAAGTTCTACTTCTTTTATTTCTGAAGTTTTTAAACTCTCATGACTTTGCTTGTAGAGTTCTGAGCCATTTCTGCTCCTTGTCTCTTTCTGTTTGGACTACTGCAGTTTGCAGAAATTGCAATTTTAGGTTGTACTTGCAAGTAATTTAACTCAAGGCTTCTTTTGATCTTAAGTGTTAATGTATGTTTTAATACTTTACATTTCTCACAGTGAATAATTAAAAAAATAATTTGTTTGAGAACTATTTTCCTGGTCCTCAGTAATTGAGGAGCCATGCTCTACATCAAAGGATGCCCAAAGTTTCTACCAATGGGTTTATTCTCACTCTAAGATGTTCTTATTTATTCTAGTGGCCTGATAATCTTACTAGCAGTATTATAGGAAATAGTTTTGGAGGATAAATTCTTATTTGTGCCTTGTAAGTTGTTGCTTCATTTCTGCTATTTACTTATTTTTATGCTGTTTAAGCAGTATTATAGGAAATAGTTTTGGAGGATAAATTCTTATTTGTGCGTTGTAAGTTTTGTTGCTTCATTTTTGCTATTTACTTATTTTTATGCTGTTTGTAAAAGATAGCATGGAATCCTTGTTCTCCCATTTGCAGTTTGTGCCTGTTTGATTGCACAGTTTCAGCCTTGTGATGCTGTTTGGATTGGGGAAGGTGATATTCCTGATCATCTTATTGTTCATTCACCTGCATCTAACCTCTAGGTCTAATTCTGCCATTTCATCTGAAAAGTAGCACAGGCAAAAATTATTTTCATTCTTCAGAGACAGGTTCTGGGTGCTTTCTTCAGCCTTTACTCTTTGATTTAATTCTGCTGGGACTACTGCTGGTTATTTCTTCAGCTGGAATATCTCTTCAGGCAGACCTTTGGAAAAATAATCTTACAAATCCTTGTTTCAGTCCATTGCATCATGGGTGTGCCATGAGAGAATCTAGACTGTATTAATCCAAGCAAGTTTTAGTCCCCTCTAGCTGCTTGCCTTGCTTCCTGTTTGACAGGACACATGTGCCACTAACGTCACTCAGGAGTGAGGAGGAGAAGAGTTGCCCCACTGTCCTGTGTGAGAAGCACCTCTGGCACACTCAGTCCTGTGCTGAATCCAAAGCAGTGCGCTTCTTCCTTCATGCAGTGTTTTAGGTGGGATACTGAGATCTGCTTCTGGCAATCCAAGGAGAGCACATCCTGTCTGGCAGTGCTGCACCTTTTGTAGCACGTGCAAGACAGGAAGGGAGGCTTCCAGGACAACTGGAAGCATGGTCATCCAAAGATTTATCTTTTGCAAGGGCAGTGCCTTTAATCTGTGCTGCCAGGGTTCGTGTAATGAATTTAAGCTATTCAATTCCTGGTAAATGTAAACAATTAAAAAATAAAGGATGAGAATCTGTGTATCTGGAAGGATCTGCCACAGAGATGTTCTGGTTTAGGCAGAGGTGGACTTCTTTCTACTGAAGAAACATCAAGTTTTCTTCAAAATGTGGGACTTGGAAGGGCAGAAAGGTGACTGTGCCCTGGAGATGAGTCAGTGGACTGCCACACTAGTCCAAACATTTCCAGGCTATCATCCCCCTGTGATTCCTCTCTTTGCATTCACTGCCAGAATCGCCGCAGCAATCAGACTGCAGTACCTGAGGGACTTGGGGAGGGGAAAGCTTCTGTGGGGAGCTGGCACGGGGCCTTGTGAGGCAGTCCCTGCCTGGCTGGTGCCCAGCAGTGATTGTGGGAGCAGATCCCAGCATCACTGTGGCACTCACCAAAAAGCTGTTGGGCTACAGGTACACTGATAAGGCTTTGTCAGGTTCTAGGCAACAGACATCAGAGGAAGATGTGTACCAGTGGTTGACTGCTAAAGGAAAAAGGGAGAAAATAAGCAGAGACTTAGAAAACATGACTGAAGGGATGTTTATTTAATCTAAATTAAATAAAAGAAGAATACTGAGTGAAATCCTCAAGAAAACAAAACAAAACAAAAGATTAAAAAGACAAATATTAAGCTGTTCTACTTGTCCCCAGCAGAAAGGATTAGAAATAATGGATTTAAGTTGAAACAATGAAGATGGAGCTCAAACAATTGGACAAGTTCTTATTTGGATGCATAATCCTGGAGGAGTTGGTCTGTGTCAGCAGTGTCTGGGGAAAGGCTCGACCCCTTGACATCCCTGAAAGTCTTGTTTTCTGTAGCAATGTGACAGGGACACTGTTTGGTTCATGGCTTTAATGTTGGGCTTATTTGGCATTTCCTTTTAATGTCATTTACCACTGTAATGGTAAAAGAAGAAAGTGGCCAATGAAATAGTGCAGATTTCTGATATTTTAGGAAATTATTATAATCCTATTGTTCATTTTAGGGAGAAGATTAAAACCCAGATGTGAGAGGATATTCTGGGACCTGATCCCTGTTGATAGTTTTAGAAGTTGAACATCCAATACTTGAACAGATTTAGCACGTAAAATGATTTGCCCCAAATCCTGCACAAAATCCCCAAGAGGACTGGTAATTCAGCAAATCTGCTGATGCTCAGTTCAAGTCTGTTGTCACAAACCCATGTGGATAAAGTCTGTAACAGCATTTCCTTCCTAGCTCCTTGGGGTGAGGACAGAGTTTTCCATTGTTATTAACGTGCTGCATATGTTGGCCTGATGTTAAGTATTAAATATCCTTTTTCCAGACTTTGGTTCAACTTTGTGATGTCTTCCCCTGAAATTGCTTCCCTTTCTTGGGGTCAGATGAAGGTGAAAGGCTGCTCTACAACATATAAGGATTGCAAAGTATGGCCGGGAGGAAGCCGGACATGGGATTGGCGAGAAACCGGGACTAATGTAAGTTTGCTGTTTAGTGCCCTGCCTTTAAAACAGGACTCTGAGAATGGTCCAGAGAACAGTGTTAAAGTTCCAGCCAGAAATTCAGTGAGCTGCCTTTTTATTTCACCTAGCCAATTAGATTTTCCTGGCGAAAACTGAGTGAATGTTTTGGAGGTGACTTTGTGGGGGGATCAGAGGGCTGCAGTCCCACTATGTCCTACACGCAGCAGGATATAGCAACTGTTACCATGAGTTCTGACAGCCATCCTCACCAAACAACTCTCACACACCTTAGAGCTCTCAAACAATATTCCTAATCTCTTTAAGAGTGCAATTGTCATAAGATTCCAGGAACAACCTCTCTTAAGACTATCTAACCAAAAGTTATCTTGAGTGAGATAGGAAAAGAAATTATGAAAAGTAAAAAAAAAAATATAGACAGTAACTGACCTTGCATGTTTGGAAGACAACATTGCATGTGGTTTAGTTTTCATCTTTTCCTTGGGGTCCCTTGTACATATTTTAGAGGAAGAATATGCATATACAGTGTCTCATGCACTATTTTCTCTGTGAAAAGCTCACAGTCTTGCTAATCACACAGTGCCTTCTCTTGGTAGCCATATACTAAGTGCTTGCCCTTGTAATTTTTAAGGTTTATTGTAAATGCAATCAGAGTTGGATGAAAGTACATGGAGCAGTATTGATGTTTCAGATTTAGAAGCAGTATAGCATATATTGCAATAGGAACTGGATGTTGATAATTCTCCCCATATTAGGACTTGCACTGGGATAGATGATTGGCTAGGAAAAAAGAAGTTCCACACTTTCAAAGCAAAAGTTAAAGCACAAAATAACAATGTAGTGACCAGCACCTGCAGACTGTATCCATGCAGAGGATGCATCTCTCTTGGATTCATTTTGACACAACTGAAATGCAAAGCATTTGGATTTGTAACTTCATCTGTAATCTTTGGGAGAATAGAACTTTTTTAACCCGTCAGAGTTCAGTTTATGCAGAATATGTAACACCAAGAGAAAGGTGCTGCTGTCATGCAAAGATATCTGCACCTCGCAGAGGAAAAGGTAGCTGTGTATGTAACCTTCTAAAATGTATTTCATTTATGGCCTGGTTATTAAAAAATAAGTTTTCACTGGCTGTTCAAAGAGCTGGGTTTTGTGGTGAGAGTTGCTGTCTGCTTGTTTGACAAGGTCATTTGTGTGCTTTATATTCACGTGGCTGGAGAAGCAGAACAGGTAACAATAGCCAAAAAGTTCCCAACTAGTTCCCATCCCAATCACATTTTTATATTTAATCCAACTGCTGGAAATTTTTGGTTTCAAATTATAAGCACTTACTAACATTTAGGAGGCTGAGCTTTCGTTTGAAAGTTTCTAACAAGAAATATCTTCTTGTCATAAGTACGACGTTTAAATCCATAAGTTTTTAGAGGACTTGAAAAACAAGTCAATGTTAAATTAAAATTGGAGGAGAAAAAGAATGGTTGGGTTCTCTGGAGAGGTAGGTTTTCTGGCATCCTTTTTATTTCATCAGGAAGTGAAAAATACCATATCTAAAGTAAGGCCGTAGATAAGTCACTTGTACAGCTCTTACTTTAGGTCAGTTCTACCCTTGCAGCTGAGGAGTGAGGTGATTTTCTTTTAAAATAAATAGCAAACAACAAATATTAAGACTATAACTAAGCTTTTTCTAGACTGCATCTCCAATGTTGAGAAGAACTGTCAAAAATTTAATTTTGTCAGCACTGGAAACAGTGAGATTCAACAGCTGCATTTTCTGCCCAGTTTTTTAAAGATGGAGTAATTTACCTACTTTCCTTAAGCATGTTTTTCCTGGAGGTAGCTGGAACTGAAGTGTGGAAAACAAGCAGTGCTGGTCCTGTCCTACACTCTATTTGGAAATAAATTGCTTCCTTTCCTCCTCTGCTGTCACACTGCTGTCTAGTGAAGCATTCTTTCATCAGGAAAATTGTATAACTGGCCCTGCAAGGTTCTGTAACTGAGCACTAACAGTTATTGTGGCCTTAACCCTTGGAGATGAATGGCACCCTCTCTCCCTGGCTGGCTGCATTTCTGTGCCATCTGCTAATGGCAGAAGAAAAGATGTAGGTGTTGCTGAAATGAAGGCCAGAGAACAGAGCAGGCAGGAAAATCTGCTGTCAAATCAACAATGATACAGTTATTTCATCATGTTACATGTTTCCTTTAGTAACACTAGTTTCTTATTAGCATCAAAGTGTCCTGTGTAACCAAAGAAAATTCTTTTGTTCCGTGGATTTCATGTCTCAAGAGTGCTTCTCACGTGACAGCAAACCTTCCCCAGAATTCTAATTATTGTAATTGCAGTAAAACACACCAATTCTTCTTGTCTAAGTTTTGAGTCTACTTAAAAAACCCCAAAGGAAAAGCATTGCCTATTCTGTCATAAACAAGTACTTAGAGTGATTTGGTCTGAGAAAGCTCTGCCCATTCAAGTGAATTCTGTATTCCAAGTGTGGGTATGGAATGTAAACGGCCTAAGGGGAACACAGCCTTTGGTCCTGGCAGCCCAAAGGACCAGACATGTGCTGGACCGTGTCAAGCACAGCACAGCTGAGGGAGGTGCTTGTCCTGCTCTGCTCTGCTCTGCACTGGGGCAGCCCCACCTCGAGTTCTGTGCACAGTTTTGGGCACCTCAGCATAAGGAGGACATCTGACTGCTAGACTGTGTTCCAAGGAGGGTGATGAACATGCTGAAAGGCCTCGAGGGCAAGGCTTATCAGGAGCACCTGAGTCATTTGGCTTGTTCATCTTGGAGAAGAGGAGGCTGAGGGGTGAGACCTCATTGCAATCTAAAATTGCCAGAGGCAGGGCAGTGCAGGCAAGGTGCTGATCTCCCTGGTGACCAGCAGCAGAACCCATGGAAATGCAGTCAGGCTGCAAGGGGATGTTCAGATGGAGTGTTAGGAAAAGGCTTTCCACCCAGACGATGCTCAGGCTCTGGAACAGGCTCTCCAGGGAGGCGATCACAGAGCAAGCTTGTCAGAGTTCCAGAAGCATCTGGATGATGCTCTTAAGTTGTGGTTTAGCTCAAGATAGTCCTGTGAATGATTCTCATGGATCCTTTCCAACTTGAGTTGTTCTATGATTCTGTGAACTTGGAGAACCATAAAGGTGAATCATCTCTGTTACTGCAATTTCAGACATCAGCCATCCTAAAGAATTTCTTGTGGAATAACTTTAATTCACCTATTGGAAGTGGCATTCTACATGGAAGGCTTTTTTCACCTGCAACTTTAGGAGCTAATGTGTTTGTTTCAGCTTGGAAAGTCTTACTTGCTCCATTCTCCATGAGTCCATCATGGCATGGCCTACTTCAAGTGAGAAACTCAGACCTCTTGAAAACTTCAGAACTTCAGAATTTTCCTAAAAAAAAAAAAAAAAGGAGGATGGGGACAAATAATATTTATGTTTTAAAAATAAAAACACACACCAAAGAGGGGCCAAATTATAGCCACAGGATTCCAGTATCTTACTCTTGACCACATGGAGATACACTGAAACTGAATCCAGGAGGAGAATTAGGGTAACATAATAATGTTTTATTAACATTATAGGTGTGTTTATGCATTCATGTGTTTAAAGCATAATAGCAGTAAGTGGGTGTACTTTTTTAAACATCTGTTAATGTGATGTGTAAGTTCCTTCTTTCTCTGGAGTATTTGGATTCAAATATTCTGTTCTCAAAATAAAGAATAGTGCAGAAATCCAAGCTGTTAACTGAAATTAAGCTACCCAATAAATTTCAGTCCTCTTTGGTGAGATTTGCAAAGTAAACAAGAAAATTATTTAATAATTTTAATTATCTGAGGAGTTATTTATATTTAAAGTGAGTAAACTTTGGCTTGCAACCATCTTTTTTTCAAGCAGATTTTGTCATTTTGAAATCAAACATCAGTATTGTTGCAATTTATTGATTTCACCTTAACTGTTAATATTTATAAAATGCCAGAAGTTAGACATAAATGTTTAAGAAATTTGTAATGCATCTTTTTGGTTTTGGTAAGGAATTATAATCTCACCATCAACCAATTAATTATCATCCTTCATTTGCATATTACATACATTCTTCAGTTTCTAATGTTATCTACTGTGTGTATGTACAGAAGAGGGTTGTGTTACATTCTGGTTCTGCTAATTTACCCTGCTGCTCTGTGTTCAGGACACACAGACACAGCTTTCCTGGCTGATGCTGTCAGTACATAGACTATTATTTTCCTTCCCTGACACTTAGCATTCTCCAGGAGTGCAGCCAGCTGACCTTGAAGAAGTCGTCAAGAAGGGTGTTAAAACTGTGGTGATTGGTCGTGGCATGAGTGAGGCTTTGCAGGTAGGTTTTTGTTTTGTGACAAGCATGAGGAGAACTGTTTGTTTTCCCTCTCCCTCTGATCAGGAGGAAAAAAAATTAAATCGATGATGCTTCACTGAGAGAGAAAAAATTGAGGATCAGTGTGAATGAGCTCCTGTCAGGGGTCCCTCAGGTCCTGAAAGAAACATCATTTGAGCTCCTCTGTGTTAGTGTCCATGTCAAGCAGTAAACAGCTTTATGTTCTGCTACAGGAGCAAATGAAATAAGAATTTTTCAGAATGTCCCCTCCTCTTGCAATAGGTTGTAACTGGCTCTCTAGCCTGCTGTAAATACTTTGGTAATTAGGCATTCTTGTCACAATTGTTGCCAGTGTGTCATTTCAGCAGATAAACTAGCTACAGAAAGCTCAGATCAGAAGTGCTGAGCTTTACTTGGTGAGAAGCAAGTCTTTAGCTTTCTGGTGGGATGAATAACACCTTCTTTAGATTAAATTCCTTTAGTTCCAATTCTGTTTATTTTTGTAAGAGAGGACTGCATTTTAAAGTGTGCTAAAGAGGTAGGGGAGGTATGTGTATAAAAGTAGCTTTATTGAAAAGAAAAAAAAAATCAATCTTAGACCTATCCGAGCATTGTCATTTTGGCTACTGGCAGTTACTTAAGTCATGTTTAACAAATGGCTTCAGTGTCTGGTTTTCTACAAGTCTTACAGTTTAAGAGGAAAATAATCTGATTCTTGCTTTTGTGATCTCCTTTTCTCTTCTGAGGTTCCAGCATCCACTGTGGACTATCTGAAGAAGAACGGCATTGACGTGCTGGTGCTGCAGACGGAGAAGGCCGTGGCGGAGTACAATGCCCTGGCTGCTCAGGGTGTCCGAGTGGGCGGCGTGTTCCATTTCACCTGCTGAAGCGCTGCTCCTTCTGCCCTCCCGGCCTGCCGCCGGGACACACCGACACACCCCTGCTGAACCCACTCGCACTCAGCGGAGTGCGGGCCTGCGGGCCAAGGCGGTTGTGCACTGACCATCGAAAGCGCAAAGACACTTTATTAGTTCAGGATTTAAGCAAATCGAGGGCTCACAAAAGGCGGGGCTGTTAATGTAATTAAATCGTTTAATTACAGAATAATTTCCATGTGTTGTTGAGATTGACCCAATTTTCCTCTGAAGGCTGTCCATAGTCTTGTTACTTAATTTTTCACCTGTTCATTAAATCAGGAAATTATGGTTTGAATACTTTTATTAGAAAATGGCTCAAAATTACATTACTGGCTACTGGAATGCAGCCATAAAATAGCTGATGAGCACGATCAAATAGTAGATATGAGGTGGTGGTAAAGAAGCACTTCACCACCACTGGATAAATAAGTTTAAAAAAAAAAATTAAAAGCAAACTGAGAACATAAAACTTTACTTCCAGCAGGTGACCTCAGTCAGGGTATTTGCCAATTTATGAATTGGCAATAATAGAGCACTTTTAAATTTTTCATTGAGCCTGAAAAAGGGGAAAAAATGTCAACAGGGTATAAGCATAAAGCCTGGGCCTTAAAGAATTTTCTTCTTAATTTCTTATTCTAATTAATTAATGAGGATTGAGCTGTCTAATGCATATCTATTCAGCAGTTTCTACACGCTTGAAATAATCAGAAATGTGTGTTACAAAACTAGAGTTTGCAGCATAAAACATTGATCTTTAGGACATCAGTCTGAATTGCTGCTAGCAAGGCACTGCTGGCAAGCTGGGGATGCATGTGAGACTTGTTACTGGTCATTATCTGATGATTTAAATGTTGTGCCAACAAACATTATTACACTGAATATTCAAACAGTTCTCTTGGTTGCTGTTCTTGGTGAGCTTCTATCAATATTGCCAGTTACAAGTTCTACCTACTGATTTTTTTAGATTTTTTTTCCCACCAGGTTCACAATTTCTTTTTCTGTGCATATTAATTCTGTGTGTATTAATGAAAATACCAAGATGAAGCTGTAAAAGCCCTGAGGCACTTGGAGCTATCCAAGCAGTAGTAGAGAAGCTTAGATTGATAGGAGAGCACAATAACTTTCCCAAGATGCACAAAATACTATGTTCTCTTTCTGCCATTTGCTCTAATAATAATTTAGAACCTTTTATCTGATAAAATACAAAGTGACGTAAAAGCAAAGGGAAAGTGAGTACTTGAAAGTTTTATCTTGCAGTCTCCTAATGACACCACTGTTTTCTGTTAGTGTAGCTACATTTGAGGCAAAATCTTACACAACCAAGCAGGAACTGCCTTTCCAGCTGCATCTGTGTTGTCTGACACAGCAGCTGGTGTAATGCTCATTGTAGCTCTGTGACATTTTTCTGCACAACTTGCCTGGTGTGAAGGAGAAGGTGAACTACTGACCCAGAAGACTGTGGTCACCCCAAGGGAATGCCAGCAGAACGAGTTCCTACCAGCCCACAGAGTGTGGAGACGTTTTGCACTAAATGTTATCTGATAGTGAAGGTGGTTTGACTCCCTTGATCGTGGTCATGTATTTGTGTTATTTTATGAGCTTCTGGGCCTGAAGGCAGCCTCAAATGGGAAAAGGATTAGTAATGCTTTGGCTGAGAAAACACTGCAGTACTTAAAAAAATGGAACCACGCGCATTACACTGTTAGGAGAAGTTGAGCAAACACCTTATCTTTCTCCTCCAGGGCTGTTTTTTACCTTTTTTTTTTTTCCGCTAACATATTTTCATGCTAATGTGGACATTAATGATGATGCCATATTCACCAAAGCTGCCTAGCTCAGGTCCTGCATTTGACACAAATACTGTGGGCTCCTTATACTGCTGCTGCCACATGATCTGCCTCCCAAAAGGCACGCAGGGAGCAGAGCCCGTTTTGTATTGCCAGCTGACTGAGGTGTACCCTACCCAGCTTTGTGCTGCAGCCTCTTAATTCTTCCCTTCATTTGGCAACTGGTAGGATGCAGAAGATTCCACTTCCAAAACAGGGAGCTGCAGTGTGCAAAGAAAGGGATTTATTTTTTTAAGGGGAAACTGCTAAGTTTCCCCACCACCAGTACAAAATTCTGGTGTCAACAAGGAGGTTATTTGCTGCAAGTTTTTCCATCCATGTCTTCTCTTGCTGCTCTCGTCACAGCTTCCTGAGTCAGCACTGTCAGTTCCCACAATAGCATCTGTTCCACTTGGGCTGCTCCAGTCACTGAAAGCCCGATTTCCTTCTTGGTGCCTGAAATTGCTTTGCTAGATGGTGGAAGCAGCTGGGATTGATTCATCAAAAAATTCCAGCAGAGCTCAAACTGGTATCTTTGTTAAATTGCTGCTTTCGGCTAGAGCCATAAATAATTTGTTAAAATTATGGGCTCATAGCCCAAATCATGGGAATGCACTTTTATAGGGCAGGATTTCTCACATACACCACTGCTCTGCCTCCCACCAGGAAAACGATCTCCCAGTAGGCAGTGAACTCCCACCCTGATACTGAAATTAAAGCCGAGCTGCGGCTGGGCTGGGAGCCAGGAAGATTCCACCCAGCTGCTCTGCCGCCGAGTGGGTCAGTCCCCAGCCTTTATCTTTGTGAAGCAGCATGTGTGAGCTGGCAGCCCGGAGAAACAGGCCATAAAAGGCTCACAGACACCAAATACAACACGACCAGCATTTTTAAGGGACATTGGGCAGCATTTGTGCAAATCCTGGCATCCACAAGCCTTAAAACTTTGTATTTTGAAGTCCCACTGATACTGCGTTAGCAAATTGTAAAGTAAAAAGATAGCCTTTTCTGCATTCCCAGTGCCTGTTACTAAGAATAAAACGGAAGATGCTAGTCAAATAAGATTAAAAAAATTATTATAACTTAGACAAGCAAGACAGGATTCCAGAGGAAATCATCTCTGTGAACTTGAACCCAAGGTGATGACCAGTACAGCATGGTGGAGAGTGCGAGTCTGACGAGGAGCAGCCTGAGGGAGCTGGGGGTGTTCAGCCTGGAGAAAAGGAGGCTCAGGGGACCTTATCACTCTCTACAACTGCCTGAGAGGAGACTGTTGCCAGTGGGGTGTCAGTAACAAGTGACAGGGCAAGAGACAGCCTTAAGTTGCACCAGAGAAGGTTTAAATTACATATTAGGAAAAAATATCTTTCACAAAAGTGTTGCCAGGCTTTGGAACAGGCTACCCAGGGAAATGGTGGAGTCATTGTCCCTGGCAGTGTTCAAAAGGTGTGTGGATGTGGCACCTGGGGCCATGGCTCAGTGTGGGTGGGGTAGTGCTGGGTTTATAGTTGGACTCCATGGTCTTAGAGGTTTTTTCCAACCTATATGATTCCGTGATGTCACACAGTCCTGATTTAAATGCAGACCCTGTTCATTCATCTTCCCAGGAACTTGCTTTGTACTTTTTGCAGTGAGTGTCCCTGCCCATTTACTTTTTCTTTTTGTCCTTATCTTTTTAAAATAAGATAAGTAAAAGCCACACCAGGTCTGAGTCAATGTCTCATAAGGTTCAACTTTGTTCCCAATACACTTATGTATTGTTTTATGAGCTCTTGACTCAGTAATTGAATTATTTACTTCCAAATTTGCATAATGAATTTCACTGGACTTCAGCAATCTGGATATGAATTTCCCACTGAAAGCATTCAAAGCTGCATTTCCCACATACACAGATGTCTTATTTAAAGTAAATCCAGAAAGTTAATGGTAAATAGGATAACACATTTTCAAACCACTGAGCTGCCCCTCTTTCACATGAGGTCAGCATTCTCCTTGCTCTGCCAGCTTCTTTTCCCTCTTGCTTCCATCTAACTAGCAGGCACAATGCAGAGGTGAGGGGTATTTGAACATCATTGATTCTTAGCAAATTATTTGCCCTTCCTTCCTTTGTAGATTGCTCCATCTCCCTGTGGCTGCAGCTGTACTGGCACACTGTTCCTACACTTGGAACCATCTGGGAGAACAGAAACTCCCCATACTTGGGTGACTGTCATCTGAAGTCCTCTGTTCCCCCTTCAACAGAGATGAAAGATGCAAATTATCTTTGTGCATGATTAGAGCCCTTTGTTTTTCTTTTCATTCTGAGATCAATCATGTTATAGGCTATTGCAGTGCAGAAGCCCAACAATTATCCAGAATTAAAGGACAACAGGTGAATGGCATGAATGCCTCTGAGACAACACAAAGAGCATGAACTCTGATATTTTTGAGAGCAGAAAAAACTTAATGTCTCAAATCTGGGGATGGGAACAAAAAGTCAACATCTGGATTTCAACAACTACAATAACCCTTGCTTTTTATACCAATTCCTTTTCCAATTCCCCATATGTTGGACCATGGTGTGAAATGGGCAGTCCCATACACATATGCAGGCTGGGTGGAGAATGGATTGAGAGCAGCTCTGAGGGGCAACACCTTGGGGGAGTTGGTGGGTGAGCAGCTCAGCATGACTCAACGATGTGCCCTGGCAGCTCAAAGGACTGCTCTGCCTTTCTGGGCTGCATGTGAGCAGCAGGCAAGGGAGGGGATTCTCCCCTGTTCCACCCTGGTCAGACCCCACCTGCAGTGCTACATCCAGCTCTGGGGCTCCCAACATAAGGATGCTAACATGTAAGTCCAGGGGAGACCATGAAAATGCTGAAAGGGCTGGAGCACCTCTGCTGTGCAAACAGGCTGAGAGAGTTGGGCTTGTCCAGCCTGGAGAAGAGATGGCTCTGGTGAAACCTGAGAGCTCCTTCCATTACCTGAAGGGGCTACAAGAGAGCTGGACGGGGGACTTTTGAAAAGGGCATGAAGTGATAGGACAAGGCAGGGGGGCTTCAGCCTGAGAGAGGGAAGGCTTAGATTGGATGATGTCATCTGCTTGCACAGGTGAAACTGAAGGAGGAAAGGAAAAGCTGTGATTTCTTCCATGATCCAAACCAGGAATCAGAGAAAAATCTACAGAAGAGAAGCCAAATGCAGAATGCTCTCATTAGCAGACTGGAAATGTTCATAGCAGCCTTACATTTTCAACTGGTTTTAGGCAACCTGAAATTACAGATGGAAGAACTTTTCCACAGCCCTGCAGTATCTGATTCTCAGCAGCAATACGGAACGCACTCACTCTTTGCCTGGTATGTTGTATGGACAGGGATCAAGGACAGTGGGAGGGGAACAAAACAGTAGAAATTTGATCCAGTGCTTAGCAAAAGAGACAAAGATGCCTAAATTTTGATATTGAGAATATCTGCTGTGCCTACCACAGCATCCATTGTGGTCTGGAGCCTATGGACACCCTCTAAATTAGAAACACTACTGAGATGACAAACTGCACAAAATACTGGTGAAGTGCAAAAATGAGAGGAAGAAAAAGGAATAAGTCTGTAATGACCTCACTCAACTTGTCAAATATCTGCCCAGACAGAGCCTCCTAATGAGAGGCACATCAACCCTGTCTGCTGGGAACTGAACTGAGGATGCCAAAGACAAGTCAGACAATAACAATTCAGCTGTCAGATGGGCAGGCAATTTTCAAAGCAGTGCCCTAAAGGTGAAACACCAATAAACAGTTTGTAAGAGCAGAAGCACTAAGAAAGTAAATTTAAGTTAAGGATACCTAAAGCAGCAGCAAATTTTTAGGATTATGAGCCTTTGGGCTACAATTCACCAGTGCTAAAAAATTTAAATCACAAAAAACATGCAGTGATCTTATTAGCCAAGGACCATGCAGGCATCCATGTTCACTCATATTATAAAAAAAGAAACAGAATAGCATGAGTTTTCCAATTTTATTGTAGGAAAGCATGTAAGGGGTTATTTACACTAAATACAACTGGAAAGTATTTCTTCACTGTTTTGTTTGTTTGCTAAAAATACACCTTTTTAAAAAGGAAAAAAGCCCACTGATTCATGAACACAGGCAGCATTTGGCTGCTGCACTAGAATGTTTCACACATTAGGTCCTCCTAAAAAATCCTACCAAAGGATTGCTACAAATCATAGGAGGTTACTCAGTCCACTAAGCCTGGCACACAGAAGCAATGCACAGACACACTTCCTGACAGGAATGCCAGATGGATCAAGTTTTAACTAAATGCTTGTCCCTCTGTACTCCCAGCTCACCTCCAGAGGGGAACACTGACCAGCTGCCCAACTGCTGTTGAACAGAGGGTGTTTGGCTACTTCAACTGACAAGAAAGACTCTGAGTGCCCAAAGTGCTGCTAAACTGAAAGTCATAGATTTTCACATCCCACTAAGACTGGTTCAGGCCAGGATCATCACACAGAAACAGATCCTTTAAAACTTAGTGGGTTGTGGTTAGGAATTTTCCAACTGGTACTTAATCACACTGCTCCTCAAGCTGCACAAAGGTGCAACAGGAGACAAACTGCTTTGTTGCTGTAGCCCAGTTAAACTCCACGCCCTGCTGACTGAAGTTTTGCCACCTGCACAAAGGGGTTCCTCCTGCCCCTGCACCTGTGCCCTCCCCAGAGCTGGACCAGCTTCAGTACAGCTGTAGAGGATGTAGAACAGCAATTGGAAACTTCCTTCCTAGGTGCTGTTCCCATACAAAAACAACAGTACTTTTTAGATTATTATTTTTCTGTTAAGAAATTAAGTACCAGTGCACAAATACAAGTTTTAGACATGCAAAAAAACCCCAAAACCTAAAACCAAACAAAACAAAAAAACCCAAACAAAAAAACCACAAAAAACCCACCAAACAAACAAAAAAACCCCACCACCAACAAAAAAAAAACAACCAAAAAAGCCAAACCCAAAACCAGAACAACCAAACCCAGAAAACCCCAGAAACAAACCAACAATCCCACACAAAATGCTGAACTCCTCAGCTTCACTTCAGAGTTCTGTAAAAATAACATTGATTTATGTGCTCAAGCATTTACATAGTAAATACATAGCAGAAAACCTAGAGGCCTTGGAGAAAGACTTTCGATAGGTAAAAACTGAAGGTACAGCCCAATAAAATTACTACTGGAATGCTGATTGTGAACTGTTCTGTTTCTGTTGAGTCAATATAGAAAAACCTGCATTTTCTTGAAACCACTCCTAACCAGCTGAGTAACTCCTGTATTTGCCTGCTGCTTAAGAGACCTGTTTTTCAGCAGCTTTATTTTGACTCCCTTTAGGCAAGTACAGGCTGTTTTGGCTTGATTTGCTGTCTTGGACACAACAAACCCCATAAAGAGGTTTTTCGGCGCCAGCCTTCACCGCCTGGCAGGTTTGGGCATTATATACACCTTGACAGGTTTGCTGAAGGGAATGGTCCCCTCTATGCCATTTTCAGAGGGTGGGAGAGCCTCCAAGCTCTCACTCCAGGTAGATTTAGGAACTCTGGTAGATGCTTTGCTCCTGTTGGAGTTGTAAGCCAGCAGCAATTGCACTTCAATCTGACATGGCTCTGCAGAGAAAAAAAATAGAACAATCCAAAGGTGATTGTCATTGCAGTGAACAATCAACATCAAATAAATTTTAATTTCACATATGGTGGGTATGCACAGAGATGTTCTGGAGTGACCTGAATCCAGTTTAGTGTCTGAAAACAAGCCTTTGGCACAACAGAACTAAGGACTTTTCTAGGTTTATCCCCCTCTCTGTTGTCACTTAAATCTTACCACTAACTTGCAATTTTATAAAATAACTGCTGGAAAGTAACTTCAATGAAATAATAAACATTAAAACCCCCAAAGACCTAGCAGGCCCTGCTCACTGTATTTATGTCAGGATCAGTCCAGATGACATCTGGCAACACTTGTGGCACAGGAGATTACCTGAAGATTGTCTTTTGTTGGAAGTTTTCGCATGCCAGACAGCCTCTTCCTCTCTTTCACCAACTACACAGCTGGGCAGAGCAAGGTCCCTAATACTGTCCATAGGATAATTTCAAGTTACTCTTCTCACAGTGGACAGACCAGTACAGGGGTTTCAGTATACACAGTATTACCCTGGACTTACTGCTGAACTTACATACACAACAAACTTCTCCTTTCTAGACTGAAACCCAGATTTATTTAGGTTTTCTTTATGGACTGTACTGGTTTGGGCTGGGATAAAGTTAATTTTCCTTCATAGTAGCTTGCATGATGCCTTGTTTTGGATTTGTGACCAAAATAGTGTCAATAACACAGGGATGTTGTAGCTATTGCTGTACAGTATAATACCCCTGAGTTTTCTCACATTGCCCTTCTGATCCTCTACTGGTCCTCCCGCTAGGGAGTGAGCACCAGGTGGTGTGCAGCACTTAACTGTATACCAGGGATATCCCATAACAGGACCACATTAATGACACCTAAATGAAACCTGCTGAAACCCACAGGATTTTAAGATGCCACATTTAGAACTGCAGGGGTCTCCAGCTGAGACATCATCAGCACCAGACATAACACAAGAAATAACTCTTTTGCACAGTTACTCCAGGCTTCAGCCAGCACCTCCCTGAGCTCACCTTTTCTTCAGTCCACCAACTCTTATTTGCAGCCTGCAGTCACCTCTTTCACTTCTGCTCTACACCTGGCAGTTAATCAGTGCTTTGCACTTGGGCATTCTCATTCCCTAGCACACTCTTTCTACTGGCCTTTAACAAGTTTTAGTGTCTTGAATTTCAAGGCAATTCTGTTTCCCGAGCCCCTCCTAGCTCAGTGTCTTCCCCCTGTTTTACATGCCTAAGTGCCAATGTCAGAATTAATGATTAAAATAATGCCTAGAGGAGACACCAGAACAGAATCCGTCAGGACCATGCTTAAAATGTCCTTCCAGTGAACACTTCAGTAGTAGAAATAAGGACTTCAGCTCTCTCTGGTAAAGTAATAGCATCAACCCTTAAACCCAGATACTTCCAGTCCTAGAAACAGTACCATGTTTTCTTTTCCAAAACAAAACCAAGAGAGCAGGATGAGTGAATACACCCTGAGAGTAATATATAAAAACAAGGGTATGTGAAGGAACACAGCAATAAACAAAATTCTTTTGATTAAAAGAAAAGATCAACAAATCCAATGAAAAACTGCTCAGAAAAAAAACCTCTCAGAGGAAACCCCCACATTTGAATAAAGGTGAAGGGATTAAAAGAAAACAACAAAAGGGAGCTGTGAATGAAATACACTCTACTTTTGTTGTTTGAAGTGCACAAGCCAATTACTGAAGTGCTTCCATGGGGAAGTGTGAGCAGCAGCTGAGACTGAAGGCGAATGCTGGAGTCACGTCACTATCAGAACTAAAGGGGGAGTCTTTAGGGCATTAAAAGGGTGGAAGTTGAATCAGCAATGAAATTGTACTGCTGAACTGTTCCCTGCCGTGCTCAGATACCTGTGAGAACTGAAACAATGACTTACAAGGAGTCCATTTCCCGTGATCCTTTGCCTTTATCTGAGGATGCAGACCTGGCTCTGAGAGCTGACTTTGCTCTGCACATGAGTGGGTGACCTCACCTTGAACACAGCTCTCACGTGAAGGCTCCCAGGGCTCTCCCAAAACAGCAGCCCCTCTATTTCCTCACAGAGCAGCAGTGCCTGGTAAACAGGGAGCTGTAACTGCTCAAAGGCCTGATCCAGACCAAGGGCAGCACCAACCACAGGTGCAGACTCCAGGATTCTCAGAGCGCCCCAGACTGTGGGTATGTAACTTGTGCAGCCACACAGCCACGTTAACTTGTGTTATTAACATTACCTGTCCAGGCTGTGTGAGAGAGGTAAACCTGAGTTATCAGCCTGTGCCTCCCAGGGCCAGGATTTCGGAAGTCAGCTGGTTTAGGATGGATTAGCTGTGCTTGTCCATCTGGATACAACACCTGGAGTGGAACAAGAAAAAGAGGAAAAAAAAAAACAACAAAGGAATGACAACTGCACAGGGAACAGTGCATTACTTGGCTGTTTACTGTCTGAGTTAGCAAGGCAAGACAAGTGGGATGTAGCTTGGAGCCAGGAGTTCAGCTGCCCTGGCTACAACAGCCACATGCTACCATTCAAAGCCACAGCACAGGTGGAAAAAAGGCCACACTGACATCAGCTTCTTCCACTGCATTGTAACTGAGGTTTTTGTTTCTTTGTTACGCTGTGATGCTGCATATTTTACTTGGATCCTACCACTCCTACCTCCTCAGCTGCACCAAAAACTAGTGATTCAGCAGTAGGAAGAAAAGCTGGAAATACAGAGAGTGAAGAGTCTGCGTATTTTTGTGCCACTCAAAACAACTTCTTTTGCCTCTTCTCCTTCCACTAGACCAGCTGGAAGCTTACCAGCATTTACTGGTGTTCATGTCCATAACATGCACAGTGCACATGGAACGACTTGACGACATCCAAGTGCTCAAAGCAAACTCTCATAACTGCATCCAAGTCAACTGTCAGTGCACTACAGACAAACCAGTTTCTGAATGACTGGTCAAAACACAGAAACCCAGCATTGTTACTAACAAAATGTATCATTATTTGCAATCTAGAAGTATTGACATCCTTAAAGAAACTCTCTCTTGTTTGCATGGATGTCAAATGACTGCTTACCTGAACTTTAACAGTTCCTTGGGGATCCTGCACATGTTCCAGAGTTGCATCAACATCCAGTGCCACAACCAATCCTGATGTAAACCTCAGGGGATTATCAGATTCACCAGTAGGCTCAATGATATTTGCAGTGGCTCGATGGAGCTGTTAGGGACAAAGTGATTGGCAAAAATCAGAAGGTGGGGAAAGGAGGAAAGAAAAAAAAATCTCGCAAATACTACTGTTCTTAACAGAGACGCGCATAAACTTTGGATTTTTTTTTTTTTTATATTGCCAGGAATTACTAAGTTTTTCAGAAAAAAAAATCTCGCAAATACTACTGTTCTTAACAGAGACGCGCATAAACTTTGGATTTTTTTTTTAATATTGCCAGGAATTACTAAGTTTTTAATGTTTCAGCAGTAGTCCTGAGGATGCTAGATAAGAAGACAAACAAGAAATGAGTAAGAGTTGTGTCTGACAAGACCCTGAATTCTAAAAGTTTGCTGTATATTAGAAAGTAGTCAGATGCAAAGACAGTCCAGAAGGATATTGCTTTTTAATTTTCTGTTAAACCAACCTGCTCTGGAAGAGGAAGGTGGAGGAAGGTACTTTGCCGCAGTGTTGTCTGAAGAATCTTGACCACTTCTGAGGGCTTGGATGTCACAAGTCTGGGCATTAAGTCCAGCAATTTATCTACAAAACTGCCTTGCATATGTGGGAGCTCAGAGATAAAACACCTGTGTCATGAATAGATTAAAAATAAATTTTTTTTCAACTTTTCCCACAGTATTGTTATTTTTAGTCAAGCTACTTAATCCTTATATTTAGTTATAATGACAGAATTAGATAGCTGCCTTCCTCTTCTGGTGTGTTTCATCCATAAGAGATGACTTTGGCTGCTTGTGCTGGGACCGTGCCTTGTGCTCAAACTGACACCATCAAGGGCTATGTGGTGTGGGCAGCAGGTCAAAGGAGGGGATTCTCCCCCTCTTCTTTGCCCTCATGAGATCCCACCTGGAGTACTGTGCCCAGTTATGGAGTTCACAGTGTAAGAAGAACAGAGGAGGCCATGAAGATGCTCAGAGGGCTGGAACACCTCTGTTATGAGGACAGGCTGAGAGAATTGGGAGTGTTCAGCCTGGAGAAGGAAGGCTGCAGGGAGACCTCATTGCAAATTTTCAGTTCTTAGAAGAGGCTTATAAAGAAGACTTTACACAGGCAGATCATGACAGGACAAATGAGAATTGTTTTAAAGGTTTAGATTCAATTTTAGGAGGAGATTCTTCACTGTGAGCATGGTGAGGCACTGGCACAGACTGCCCAGAGAAGCTGTGGAAGCCCCATCCCTGGACGTGTTTAAGGCCAGGCTGGATGGAGTTCTGGTCTAGTGGAAGGTGTCTCTGCCCATGGGAGGGGACATGGAACAAGACTGTCTTTAAGGTCCCTTCCAACCTAAACCATGATTCTGTGATTCTATGATTTTATGACTCAGCAGGGAATTGGACAGCTAGCCAGAGATACAAGTATCTTTAGCTGGCTGAGCAGAGTTTTATTTGTTTTCTGACTAAATTCACATTTATTATACGCTTGGTAGTTGTGGCTGGTTAACTGATAAGAAAAGAGGACCAAATCTGTCCTACCCTAAAGCCCAGCTGGAGCTGGAGGATAGAACTCTTCATTTCATTTTCCTTGCACTGAGTCTCAGGATCTGCAGAATTCATCACTATTTCACAGAATCAGAACCAGAGAATGGTTTGGGTTTGGAAGGGACCTCAAAGATTACCTGGTTCCACAGCCCTGCCATGGGCAGGGACACCTTTCACTAGAATCAATCTGATCATCAAATTGACACTTAATAAATCTATTCTCCCTGGAATAAAGTTGAGTACTAAGAGGTGGAAAAAGCAGTAGACAGAGCCAGGAAAGATACTGCAGAATTCTTGTCTTTTTGTCACATGTTGAGTACATCAAGGGTAATCTGCTTTTTTATTAATCTTTGAAAGTCTTTGAAAGGTCAAAACACTCTCAGAACTCCAGGAGACAGAAAAAAAAAAGTATTTATCAAAACAGCATCTACTCAAAGTAGATAAATCCTTATAAAGACAAGGAAAAAACCAGCTATTCTATAAAAAATTAATGCAGAGCACATGTTTCTGAAGTACCAGCATAATATCCCGATGTTAAGGACTTTAACTACAAAGGTTCTTCTTGCTTTATTATTATCCCATGACAGTTCCCAATGTAGGACAGCAGGGAAGGGAGATGTGAAGAGATGAAAAACAAAGTGAGTATCCCCTGATGACAATGCTGGTAGGACTTTCTAATACAAAGTGTAGGAGCAATGGAGTTTGTCACCTCTGAAAGGAATCCACTTCTTGGAGGAATTTTTCACACATCCCAAAAAGAGGTTCCACTCTGTAATGAAAATAATATTCCTTGGTTTACTTTTAAAGAAAGAAAAATGGCTCTATGGCTATACACATTTAGGTGGCTTGGAATCCCACTGAACCTCCTAAAAATGGGAAAATCTTACAGTTTTTGAACCAAAAAAAAGTATTCCTCACTTATCTATATCCCCTTCTCACATAAAAACCCCCATCTGCATAAGGCACTGATTAAGTTCCCAAAGCTACTGTTAGAAAATACTCATTTTCCTCCTCTAAGTGGTTAAAAGGCAAATATATTATGGACCTCCATGGTAACACAGTAAATTGATGGCAACAAACCTGAAACAGAAGTAAACTAGGGCAGTAACTAATTTGCTCTAATTCCACCAGCTGGAGTTCTCATTCTACAACCATGTGTCACTTCTTTAACTTCAGCAGCCAAAACAAACCACTCAGAGCCTCTCATGTACCTAAGCCTGCACAGGAGCAGTTTCTGTCTGAGTCACACACAGCAGTTGCAGATCAGTCAGGAGAACAATACTTTCCTGACGCTAAAAATTCAGCAATCAATACTTAATGAAGCAAACATGTTTGGTGCATTCTTTTGATACATGACTTTTCTTCATTTAAAAAGATCCCAAATATCAACTCTGCAATGTTTTTAACCTATTTGGATGTTCATAAATGAGAGAACTCAACCCCTAACACCCATCTTCCCAACAGTTTTGCCATCTAATTCAGGATAGTGTCCCTATACAGCTGTATCAAAGGCAAAAGAAGGTTCTTTGTTCTGAGTTATTCTAGCAAATGGTTATTGGCACACTGCCTTGTTATGTGTCTAATTTATCCTTGCTGGATTTTAAACAAAGCTTAAGGACAGTAATCTTAGAGCTAACCCTAAGAAACTCCCTATGTCAGGTCATGCTTACCCTCTGGTGGTGCGGGCAGTCACTATCAGCTGCAAGGCCTTCGCTTGCAGTCTCATGTGGTGAATAATGACCACTTGTCTACTTTCCACTCCGCTGTACATGAACTCCATTTTGTAAGTTTCTTCCAAGATCTGCCAGACAGACGTCACAGGGATAAAAACCATCAGACTGATAAGCCCTGGTACAACCATCATCACCACATTCTGGTATTTTTATCTCATACCGAGGAGCATATGAAGCAAGAGGAAGTGCTCAAACTAATACAGTTGAGTTCAGTATGACTGTGCAGATGCCAAAGAACTTTCAAGTTATTTAACAGGGAATACTCCCTCACCTTGCATTGATAGCAAGTGACCTACATTCACCATCATAACAGAAAACATTTTCCAGGACATCCACACGCTACTCAAGAGGGCACCCAAGACAAACATTTCACTCAGAGAAGATTTCAAAAGCTGGATGGCTTTTGTTTCTACTCATCAACAACAGAGAAGGCTTTGATGCACAGCAGTACCTATCACATCTTAATTATCTGAAGACTCAATATCAGCAGAGTTTCCCAACAGATCCATGAACTTGCTTTTACCCTAGTTTTGTTACCAGACTATTGAATACCTTGCTTGCTTCTTTACTTTTAAGGCTCAGCTTCAGTTTTTCCAGGATCTGAGAATTTATACATCCCAGAATCAGAATAACTCAGATTGGATGGGATCTCCAGATGCCAACTAGCCTGGCTCCCTGCCCAGAGCAGGTCTCATTAGATCCAGTAACTTGGGGCCACATCAAATTGCTTCCAACAACAGAGATTCCCCTCACCTCTCTGAGCAACAGTACTTAACCATCCTTACAGGAAATTTTCCCTTAATACCTGATCAAAATTTCCCATCATTTGCCAACTGCCTCTTGTCCAGAGTAGTCTGGCTCTGTCTCGTTTATATCCTGTAATGATACAGTGCTAGACAGAAGTAAATCCATCCTGAAGTCTGCTCTTTCCAGGCTGGACAATTCCAGCTCCCTCAGCCTTTCCTTGCAGGTAATGTGCTGAAAGCCCTGACTACACTGGTGGCCCTCTGCTGAACTTGCCCGTTTGTCAGCCTCTTCCTTCTACTGGGGAGGCCAACACACGACACAGCCCTCCAGATGGCATCTCCCCAGAGCTGGATCATTTCCCAAACCAAGTCATCCCAGATGCAGTTGGCCTCCTGCAATGCCTCATATTCAATGTACTGAACACGGTGATGTTCCTGTCATCCCAGTTACCCAGCCTGTCCAGACCAGCAGCCACACCCTCCAGCACATCAGCTGGTTCCTCAATTTGCAGGACCCTTACTACCTGTTTATTCAGCCACAATCCTGCAAGTCTGGTGAAAAAGAAATTATGGGAGACTGTATCCAAGCTCTGCAACTTCCATTGTCCTCCCCTTGTTCACAGCACCAGTCCCCTCACCATACAGAGTTCTGGTGGTAGTCAGCCGTAATTTATTCTTGAGAAATGCATTCTGGCTGTTCCAAGTAGCTTTACTGATCTTATTTAGGAACAGCTTTTGTAAGTATTTGGTGCATAACCTTCCCCAGGGAAGAGGCAAGGACAAGCAGCCCACGGTTTTCTGGATCTTTTCTTACTCTTCTGGAAGACGAGTGTGATATTTGCCTTTTTACAGCAGTCATGAACTTCCCTCCCTCCCCACTCATCTTTTGAAGAGAAGAGAAATTATCCCAGTTTGGGGGATTAAGATTTACTTGGACAGTCTACAGCAGTGGAAGGTCAGAAGTGTGTAATTGTTCCATGGCCAACAAAAGACTCCTAGTCAAGGACTGGCCTCTGTGCAGGCTCAACTGCTTCCATCTCACCTGTTTTGCTGCAGCAGATGCCAATGCATTCTGTTTCAGGTACAGGGGAGCTGCCACATTCCACAACTTCTCCTGCAAGGCCTACAAGAAAAAAAAAACATGAAATGATGATAAATATCCAGTTCAGTCAAAACATTTGGTTGAAAAAGCATGTCAAAGCTTTCTCTTGTGCTTTTAAATACAACACAGGGAATCAAGGCCTCCAAAATATACATTGTTCTGTAAAGAAACAGAGATACCTATACAACTAGAAAATATAAAGGAAATTGAGAATAATATTGACAAAGTTGTGAATGAGAGACTCGTCAGACCAAACTCCTTGTACTTCATAAAGAAAACCAACAGCCCACTTGTTATCAACCCCCTGAGACCAAGATCAGGGTAATCTCAGAGAGAAGGCAAAAAGTGGGAATAAAAACAACTGTCCCCAGAAACACACTTACCTCCACAGCCACATTTCTGAACTTTCCTGCACTCCACCAAAATCTTGGAGTTATTATGAATATTGTGTCTAATTCAGCTGCTGATATTGGTATTAAAAACAAAACAAAAAGCCCAAACAAACAAATAAAACCAATAAAAAACCCAAAAAACCCTCAACTGCCTACCATACCCTATTTGCTTTTTATTTTTAAAAAATGTAGAAACCTTGAGTGGATGATTTATACCACTGCCTCCTTTTTGAAGTTGCCTGTTCTTACACACAGCTATGCACAAGGCTGGCTGTAGCCAAAGCTCAAGAACATACAGACTGTATCCATCACCCACCCTTTAGCCCATAAATCCCAGTTAACTGCCTCTAAAATCACAGGGTATGTAGAGCCTTTACAGGTATGGAACCTTTTGTGGCTTGAGAGGCTGGGAAATTAAGATACTTTTTCCCCCAGCAACTTTTTTTCTTTCGGGAATAGAAGCAACTGGAAAGAAATCTAATGAAAAGGACTACTTGGACACATCAGGTTCTCAGAATTCTTAACTGTATTGTATGAGTGGAGGTTATCTGTGCCTGTAAGAAGGGGTCTGGAATTAGATGATTCTCAAAATCCCTTCCAACCCAAGATATTCTGTGATTCCTGATATTATCAGTTTCTTTTTATTCCATGCACATTAGTGACTCCTCTGCATCACTGATCTCTTGACTGCTCTACAGCTCAAGCCAAGAATGGCTGATGCAGCTTTCACCCTTCTTCCAAACAGAGCACACCTCTGCCAGATGCAAAACCATCTGTTTCATTCCAGTCAAACCCTGGAGAAGGGCAACAAAGCTATCTCCAAATGCTAGTCCTCTGCCTGCAAAGCACATTTCACTTTGGATTTAGCTGGATTGTACTGAACTGTACCACTGCTCATCTGAAATACCTTTGGGTGATAAATATATTCCAAGGATTTGAGGCCTGGCATGAGACATGCCAACTGGCGACTATGCATTAGCAAAGCAACTGAAATCTGTCCTTGGTTTTACATAACAAAGCTTTCATTGAGTCCCTTCTGGAAACTTGTTTGCTGCTTGCTTTAGTTCTTGCTTTATATGTGTGTAAGTTACACTCAAACTTACCAAAGAATGCCAAGAGACTAACTTAAATACCACTGCCAGCTTACAGCCATGAGCAATCTAGTCCAGTGGAATCCCTGACCACAGCAGGGGTGTTGGAACTAGAGGGTCCTTTCCAGCTCAAGATTTTCTATGAAGTAAAAAATTAGTTCCTGTTTACAGCAAGAAGATGACTTTGAAAAGGGACTTTTGCAAAGGGCTACTGCAATGGTGTCTAAGTAGCCACTTGAACCTGCTAATACTAAATAGACAGATAATTTCAGCACTATAAAAGAAAGCAAGACTGATATCAAGTCTTAAGAACTCCTCTGGCAGTGGTGCCAATAAAGCTATCTCTGCAAATCACCATCTATAAAAACGGCAGCAGTCTAACAAAAACCATTCCAGTAGCCAGCAGCAGGGAAAAGTTACTCTCCTAACACAGCTTCCCTCAGCGTGATTTCTGTCAGATAATAAACTCTGCACTGACAAAATGCTTGCGAACCAGCATAAGCCCTAGGTACAGCAGCAGAGGTCTGCATTGGCAAAGTTACTGCATAAATTATTTGCTGTAGGAGGGAAGCAGGATTATCAGAAATCCACAGAACCTGCTCTTTCATCACACATCACTTTTCAGCATGAGCATCAAAACATGAAAGCATGCCACTGCGATGGACTGGGGGCATATTTGAAGAACAGCTCAAAAAAAACCCCAGATGAAGTCAAACCTTGATGAGGAGCAGCTGACACTGAAGGTAAGTTGCAGTGAAATCTGCCATCCCTGCCAGTTCTGACTGCAGCTCTCCAAGCCTCTGAAGATCACTGAAGCATGTGAAAAGAAAAAAAAAAAAAAAAAGAGAAAATAATGTTGAGACAGAGAACAGTTTAATCCAAACACACCAAGAAGGCAATGACAATAAAGCCAGCTATTCCTGCTGCCTGCTTTTATTAGAGCAAGCACCAGAAACCGCAGCGAAACACACTCTACAAAGCAGTTTGCACCTTGGGACTTGGCATGTCCCTTCTTCTGGGAAGCTGGCACCAGCACAGCAGTGGAAGCATTAAGTCTGTCAACCCACATTACTCTGCAGCCCCACGGGAACCACACAGAGTGGCAGCTCCAGATTTAACTTAAAACACTCCAGCCCTCTACAGCAGCTAACGACCCATTTGTGTTACACTGCTGGGAAATCAAACTATTCATGTTGGCTAAGAAAGGTTGTTTGGAACGTGTTGGGCTCATGCAACCAAGTGTATCTGAAATACAGCTGTCCTTTTAAGCCAAGCTAGAATCTGATGTACTGATATTTGCCCAACTAGATGGTGTGTGCTGCCTGGTATTTCTGTAAATCACACACCAACATAAGCAGCTTTTAATATGATAGAAAAAAAAATGTCAGTTAATGGAACCCAAAAGGCTTTAGTTCTCTACTGCTAGCCAGGTTTTCTTAAAGTGTGCATTAAAAAAACAATTTTTTTTTTACAGAACTGAAAATAGGTTGGATGATGTGGTTTCAACATGTGCCTTTTCTTCTCTGCACTTTGCTTTGATCCAAAGTCTATTAAAATTGTCACTTTACTTCCACATTTCCTACTTAATTTCTTAATTTTATTTTTCAGCTGATCATTTTCTTTTATTTTAGATTTATCTTTGCATTTAGGATGCAATTCTGAATCTTTGGCTCTGCCAAACCAAAGAGTTGCTGAGCCCTGAGACATTAACAAAAATCCATGAGGTTATCTGTATAATATGCAGTCAAAGAAAATCTTTCCTAAGCAGAGAATCATAGAATCATTTATGTTGGAAAAGACCTCTAAGACCATCCAGTTCCACCATTAAGCTAGCACTGCCAAGCCCACCACAAGTGGCATATCTACATCTTTCAAATCCCTCCTGGAATGGTGAATATACCACTGCCTTGGGCAGCCCTTTCCATGAAGACATTTTCCTACAATCCAATCTAAACCTCCCCTGGCACAACTTGAGGCTGCTTCCACCTATCCTCTTGTCACTCAGGAGAAGAGACCAGTCCCCACCTGGCTACAGCCTCCTTTCAGGTGTTGTAGAGAGTGTTAAGGTCCCGCTGAGCCTCCTTTTCTTCAGGCTAAACACCCCCAGCTCCCTCAGCAGACCTGTGCTCCAGCCCTTCCCAGCTCCGTTGACCTTCCCTGGACACACTCCAGCCCCTCAATGTCTCTCATAGTGAGGGGCTGTGCTTTTCTTCAACAGCAACGCATCAACAGCAGAGCCAGACTCAACCTTACACAGAGATTCCATTTCTTCTCCTTCTAGAGAGCAGAGTGAAGAGGAGGCTCCTGGGTGCTTAATTCCCATGTCACAATCCATCACAACACACTAATGGGGAACAGGATGTCATCTCTCAGCTAACAACTAGGCAGATATTCAATTTCCCAGTCTTATACAGTTCCCAATTCCACTAATTCTATTTCCTTACAAATCTTAAACAGATTTCAACATCCCTGTAAAAAAAAAAAATCTCCTATAGATGGAGAAACTAAACCACAGACAGATTTGCTAAACAGCCTGTCTTACATTTCTAACCACACTGCAGACTGATGCTCCCCCCACTCCATGCTCTGCAGCCAAAACTCTGAGTCCCAAGTAGACACAAACTCCACAAGGTCTGTTATTTTTGTGGATGACAATGATAAAGGAGGAGAGAGTTACATTCCATGACAAAACCCGCTGCTGTGAGCTGCTTCTATCCTTCTGCTCTTAGCAACCAAATTGCTGGTGTAGGAATATCTTGCCCTCTGCAAAATAACCTTTAACACTTTTTTTGGCTTCGTCAAAATCCTCCCTTTGTCTTAAGGATGGAAAAGAGCAGTTGGTTTAGTATGATTTCCTGGGGGGGCAATACCATCAGGAAAAAAGCCAAGGCAATAATTTCCATCAACTCAAAAACTGGAAACAGTCATGGCCTGGAAGGTTCCCAGACCCTCATGCCTGAGAGGTTCTGGATGCTTGGCCTAGGGACTACCTGTTTCAAGTGTTTAGTGCACTAAGTGCTTTAAGACTATATTTTAGGCTGGCACACAGCAGCTGCAAAACAGCTGAGGACAAACCTCACAGTTCCCACAGCTGGGTTTTCAGTGAGGAGCACACTGTTTACTCTCTGCTGCAGATGGGTGTGACAGTGATTCACAGCAACACACACACAACAGAAGGCAGCTATTTTGAAGGAATAAAAATAATTAAGCTTTTTAAAAATTCCATATTCCAAACAAAGCATTTTGGATTCTTTTCCTAACTCTTAAAATAACACTCTTTTGCTCTTTCCAAGCAGAGGAATCACATTGAAAGGATCCTTTTCAAGTGTTTTGTTTGTGTAAATCAGTCTAGAGATGAAATGGAAGAGGCAGCATAAAACCCACACTGAGAAGCAACACCACAACCCTTATCTATACAGCAGCAGACAGCAGCATGCAAGAATGTTTTCTATTCCTGGAAAAGCTCTCTGATTTGAAAACTAATGAGGAATACCCAAATCCTTTGTAAGTGGGACTGGCAATGAGAACCCAAAACACCAGAAGCAGGTCCTTTCCTGCTGAGTGAAAGGCCACAGGACCCAGAAAATGCAAGAACAAAGGGGACAATACCTTTTCCCCCTCAATAAAAAACAAACCCCAAGAAAATCTTCTGCATGTACATTACAAATAATATGATCAAAATTACAAGGACACAAAACTGAGAATGAGACACAAAGCTGTCACCCATAAACCATAAAAACAGAGTGTATTTTAGCATAAGTGAACAGTCCAAAAAGAACACCCTTACCTAACTCTTACCATGGGCTGAAAAGATTCCCCCCAGCCCACAATGCCCACTGGTTATTCTGGGGGGCTGTGCCACACCTGAGACCATCCATTTGATTTGAAAACAGGTCATGAACACTCTTTTGTCACAACAGTCTCTAAAGGAAGGCTCAAGTTAAGCGCTGGCCAGCAAATTACAACACTCATATTCAGAAGCAAAGCACCCACATCAGAGTAACTGAGCACCCTAACACATCTTTCCATGAAAGGGCAGCTTGAGGCCTTACCGGATGGTAAATTCCAGCAGCTCCTGTATGCCCCGTGGGTCGAGGTGCTGAAAGTTGTAAACCCTCTCCAGGCTCTGATGCAGGAACTGCTGGGAAGGATCTTCATGTGGGGTAATACTGGGAGAAACAGTAGAGGACACCAGCTTTCTACCTGGCAACTAAGCGAGAGGGAACACACACGAACAAAAAAAAAATAAGAGCAAAGTCTAACACAAGGAATAACACCACAAAATGCTGACATCTATTTTAGCAAGAAACTGAGAACTCTAATTCATTTCTCAAATACAAAATTTATACCAAGCCTTTCAAATCTGCATCTTTGTTAGTCAATCCTCCCCACTTCACAATCCACTTGTTGCACCACAGATCCTCAGGTTAAACATCAACATTCCTTTGAGGTAAACATCTTCCTCATCTTACATTTGACACAGTGAAGCCAAGGGAAGTCCGAGACTGCACAAATCATCACTCATATGAGCTATGATAAGACTTACAGCCAACTTCAATCCCACCCATACTTCCATGCAGGAAATGCATGTTGCAAAGCAGAATGGAACATATTTCACCCATGAATAAACTGTTCAGGTAGGACACAAGTGAAATGTTGGAAGATCTACAAAGGCCTTTCCCACACACAGTCAGAGCTATAGAAAACTCCCAGGAATACTGCCCTCCCAGTATTCTTACCCAACCAGCAAACCATGTTCTATTCTCACTTGAGAGCAATGATGTTACTATACTCCCCAACATATTACAAATTCCATATTGTAGCAATTTAACATTTATCTCTCCTGCCTTAATGAACATTTCAATATTGATTCCCGTGGTGCACAGGAGAAAAACCTTTTAGAATCTAAGTGTTACACACAGACAGACATGGTAGAGACTGGCAATATTTCTAACAGCTGTCAAAGTCCAACCCAAACTTAGTTCAACTTACCCTTAATGGAGGGACCAGGTGAGAGAGACTGTCCCGAAGATACGCGTAATGTCTGAATGTATGGTCAGAGAACAGGGCAGGCATTGTTGGGCAACTTTTAGCAGCATTAAAAATCAGAACCAGAACAGCAATGTCTATTGCAAATGGATTGTTAAAGAAAAATGAAAAACAGCAAGAAGAGCTTCTTGGGGATGGGAAATTAAAACAAGTCATCAACAACCCTTTCTCTGGCCAGGATTTGTCCAGGAAGTTCTTTACAGTCAGAAAATACTGAGCAAAACCTGAAGAAACAGCTGTCTGAGCAAATGAAAACCAAGTCCAAAGTGCAAACATTACAGGGTGAGCCATACTGGAAAAAGGATGTTACTGCCAACATCGGATGGCTCAGAGGCAACACAAAGGAAAGGAGCCAGGGATCCCAAACACAGGACATGCGCATTAGGCGGAGTTTCACTCTTCCTCACAGCTTACACTGTGCTCACCAGTAAGCACCACAGAATCACAGAGTGGTTTGGTTGGAATGGACCTTGAAGACCACTAGTTCCAACCCCACCCTGCCATGGGCAGGGACACTGCCCACTAGACCAGGTTGCTCAAGTTTTTTGGTGCCCTCATAGCATCCAAAATTATACATTTACTGCCAAGTCCTTGAAAATTGCTGCATTACCTAAGATTCCCTGAAAAACATCACTCTGCAGAGACTTCAAGCAACACAAAGAATCTAACATGGAAAGATAATTCTGAAATGGAAAACACATTTTCACAGTCTGAGACCTGCAGAAAGAGAGAGCAGCCAAAGGCTTTAGAAATTAGCCCAAAGGCTGACACCTGCAACAGGGCTGATCCTAAGCATAAGCTCTGATTCAAATTTCCTAGAGTGCTTTGAAGCAAACAAAACCATGTTTTTAAGTATCAGTTTACACTGGAAACATACTATTCAGGTTTACCCCAGCTTCTGGCTCACATGCCTATCTTCACATAATATGCCTCTGTAAAATGTAGTGGCAAGTTACATCCAAAACATTCTCTAACATAATATTCTCTGGTTCCTGGCAGGAAGGTGCACTGATTTAAAGAACAGCATTCTTCCCCCTGCAATGTTCCTTTAATTCTCTATTCACAGGACAACTTTACTCAAATTATTACTAAACCATGTAATTACAGATTCATTTCTCTCCACCTGATTCCAACTCATTTCAATTCTCACAAGGCATTAATTTAATCTGTATAGAATTTCTGGTTGATGGCCTGTGACTGGAGAGAAAAATAAGGAACAGCTTCTAGAGGAAGGTTCCAGTCCAATGTGTCTCAGCATGAATCAGAAATAACATTATGTTCTGCCATCACACAGAAGAGAAGCAAGGGGAATAACAATGGAAAAATGCATTTCCAAGGCATCTCCTCTTGTTGAGGAGAATAGTGTATCAATAATTGTTTGTATTCTAAAACACTGGAAGAGCTAACAATATAAGGATTTCTGACATTGAATTATTTCAGAAAGATGAAAAATTCAAAGCATTGTAGGGATTAAGGCACTGCTGAACTTAGAGCTGGTGCTGATTTATAAACTGCACAGAAGTGAACACAGTAAAAGTTTTACCTAAAAAGAAAACAGACATGAAAAAACATTCTTCTTATTTAAAAGCTAAAGCATCCTCAAAATTAATGCAAACTAGACAAATGTTTTGACATCAAAAGGCTCATCTGCAAAGCCTAAACCTTGACAAATTGCTTGATTATTCATCACAGCATAAAAAGAAGACCAATTATAATTCACTAATATTTATGAAGATGGTTCCAGCCAACAGTTTTTCCATCACTTGCTGAGTAACAAACTAAGTGCAAAGGGATTCAGAAAGAGGCACAGGATTGTTTGTCTGCTACAGGGAGAAATGGCTGAAGAAATGTGAGAGTCAGAAAATCATTAATAAAAACTACTGCAGTCAAAATTATCAACTGGCTTCATGAATAAAGATACAGGCTGGGTCATCCATGTCTGGTTCCGGGGTGTCAAAGAACGGATGTGTGCTCAGCAGCTCTGGGACTAATGGAAGCACCAAAGTGGGATGCCTGCTTCCCAGGAACTTCAAGCATCTGGAAATACACAGATTGAAATATATGTTAGCAAACAGGCACATTTCAAAATACAACATTCTAAAGTATTACCACTTCATATTGCAGCAACACTTTTGGACAGTCAGCAAGAAAATCCTGCTGTCTAAGCTCGCTGTTTCTTTACAACTGACCATTTGCATTAATATTTTATAGGATCTGATAAAACTGAAAGGACGAGCAGTAATTTTTTTTTAAAATTTAAAGTGTCTACAAAATAGTTAGCACTTGGAGTTATACAATCCAGGAAGCTTTTATACTAAAGACTAATGAATGAGTGCTTTTTTTTTTTTTTCAGAAACAGGGAAGACAGAAGGTAAAACCTCAAAATCCACAAACTCCAAAACCAATGTAAAAGTACATGGAAGTCAAAGCAGGCTAAAATAAGTGTTTCCAGTAATATCTAAGAATTCCATCTCAAACCATGTGTGTGGAGCATCATTCCCTTTATTGCTTCCATTAAAAAACCATTAACCTGATGCCAAAGTTCCTTCTTTTTACTTAGGCAGAAAATTTCCTCTGACAGCATAATGCCACATGGCTAATTCACGTATCACAACTGATACAGCCAACTGCTGGTAAATATTACTATTTAACACAATGTCAAGTGAGCAAAAACACTTGCATAGAAGAGATGAGGTTTCAAATGGAATTCATCTTTCCTGTGAATGCACTGAGTGCCTGGAATAGGCGGACACTTCCAGGAGCAGTCATCAGATCTGGATTCCCAGTGCAAGTATTGACAAGCAAGAACAACACAGAGTTTCCACACCAGTCATGAAGAAGTACATATTTACAGAGTAACAGGACTGTACACTGCAATACCTGTTACCTCCTTAGCAAGCTCCGTATTTCCTAGCACATCACTTAATAAAAAGAAGAGGAAAGTAAGTAGACACACAGGGACACTGAATACACTCACTTCCATATGGATTCTCTGTCTGTGGGATACTTGGTCAGGTTTTTCAGCAGCTCCACCAGTGCAAGATGGATGCCTTCTTTAGTTGAAACATTGGTGCAACACAACAGTTCATGAAGTGCTTCCCGAATGTCCCTTGAAGAATCCTAAAATAAAAAGCCAACCCAGACACTGCTGAGCAAAACATGCCTGCACACACATTTACTTTAAAGGTGGCAGCCTCTGTTCCTTGGCTGAGTTAATTAAAGAGGTCTGTGAACAGCAGTGCCTGTTTCTAGTCACCAGAGCTAAGCACAGATGAAGTGACAGACCGGGCAAGTGCTGCAGAGACTCCTGGTCTCATCCTCCAATGTGCTTCCTTTACTGGAATAAATGGGAACTGCTTCACTGCTGACCTGCTCAAGCAGACCAAAAATCACTACTTGGTTTGGGTGATGTATCTTTGCAGTAACAGAAAAGGAAGGTGTTGGGCAACTCAGTAAAACAATCACCAAAGATTGTTTTAGCATTTTCACAGCAGCCTTTTATCGTTTTCAACCCAGGGAGCTCAATTCCACAGGCTTTCAGCCAGTCGCCACTTCCAGAGGGTCTGAGCAAGCACTGAGGACATGTCAGTGGCTGGACAGACTAGAATATTCAGCTGAATTAATTACATTTCTTCTGCCAAAAACAACCTTGACATTCCATATCCACGTATCACCATGTTCCTTGCTATCAGCATTTGCCTGGTGCTGCAGGACACATCATGAAAATTTGATAGGATACAAAAACTGGATGCTTTCCAATGGTGGATTTTACCTTTTCTAAATTATAATTTGCTAAGTATCAACAGCTCATTCATCACTGTCGTACACAAAAGAAGAAAGAGCAATCCTCTTGTAAAGGCTCTTAAATGACAGCCAACACACTTGAATGATCAAAGGGCTTTTGTTGGTCAAAGACAGACTAGGACCACAGAGAAGACAAACTCTGAGGACTGGAATGACCACAGACATAAAATACTCCAGACCACTAATAAAACCCACCAGAAATGTGGTACAGAGACAAGCAAGGCAGAAGACCATGAAGGGACAAAGATGAGAAAACTCAACAGAAACTGAGATCAAGAACAACAGGGAAAGCAAATTCCAAAGTCTGGTCAGAAAAGCAAGGAGTACCTGGTTACAATTATTCTGATAAAGTGAAAGCAGTGGGGTGAAAACAGAAGTTATCCTCAACACCATGGTATTCCATATTTATGCTGCTGAAACCAATTTAGGCACCAAAGTTAATGGTATTTTTCCACAGCCTTTATTTTTGTACTGGAAGATGGATTTTATAGAAAAGCACCAAGCAACTTTCAGAATCAGATAAATCCATTAAAATGTTAATAATTCTACACTGAAGCTATCCCAATGCCTGATGATAATTATGATAATATAAACCACAATACACGTAGGGTTTATCATACATGGTGAGGACAGAAGAGCCCAGCCTAACCAGGACATTCTCATACCTCAATGCACAGGTTCCCAGCTTAAACAAATGTAAGTAATGACAAAAATGTGAGGCACCTAAAGTTCATTGTTGCATTTGCAAAGTCAGATCATACTCTCCAGCATTTGCTACAGACTGATAAAATAGGTTTAATTAGTTTGCTACTTCCTGAGGCACAACTGAGAGCAGGAATTGCTGCCCTGGGTTAAGGAAATAAAAGGTGAAGAGACTGAAACAGTCGATTTGCAGCACCTCCCAAGGCACTTCCCAAAAGAAGCAGGAACTTGCTTACCACAAGCAGTAGATTTAAAAAAAAGCCTCAGGGGCTATAGCTCAGCAACTAAACCAGGTCTGAGAGGACAGTTTGATACAGTACCATTCATACAGCCAAAATCTATTCCTGGATCCACCTCATCAACCAGGAAGAGCAGATGACTAGTGCTATTCCCTGAATCCTGGCTGAACACCAACTAGGAGGATGCTGGTTGGGGAAACTCAAAATTACATGGCAGAGCACACTGACAAACACTCTCAAAAGAAAAAAGATTTCAGGCTCACAGCCAGCTCTGCTTGGTGAGCAAAGGTGTAGCCAAAGCAGCTGAGTCAAGGACACAGAAACAAAATGAAGCTGCATGCAACATGAAGTGCATGGAGTGCTGGACCTCAACACAAGACAGAAGGAAACACATGGAGGCAACAGCACAGTGATCAAAGGAAGAGTTTTCATCTAAAATTTTTCTATTTCAGAAGTATTCTGCTGTCCTGGCACTTATAAGCTACCAGATTTTAGGAACCTTTGACAGAGTTCAAAGAGTCAAAAAACCCAAAAAAAGGGTGGGTTTGCTCTCAGAGGAAGGGACTGATTAGCAGTACATAATTAAACATCCCAAAGTAAGCAGAAAAGCAATTCTTGCCCTCCTCAAGAATTTCTTACCTCCAAGACAGCCAACACAGTATCCAGCTGGTCCTCCCGCAGCGTGATGTTGTTGGAAATTTTTCTCATTGTGTGTATTGACTGCAATCTGACCTCCTCAATTTCATCATTAAACATATCAACCAGAAAATCCAGGCATTTCTCCGCAAAAGAAGGCGAGGACTGAGCCAACATACACAGGGCTTCCACCGCAGCGATTCGAACCTCTGTTAAAAGAGAAGCAGGGAATTCACTGTAAATTAACTAAAACTGTCTGGTTTGAAAGGACATTCACCCAACAGTGAGCTCTTGAACTCTTCAAGGGCTGGGCTAAGGAGAGGACATGCTAAGGAAACGCTGAGGGCAACAGAGCCTAAGCAAGGACCCACTGGGGACCTCTTCACAGGCAAATCTTCAAGTCTCACTTCTGATACAGCCCCTGCTGCTGCCACAAGCATCTGCAAAAAGGACCTGCAGGTGAAAAACAGGTCTCCAATCCATCAATAAATACTGCATATTTCACAGTGTGTTTTGCAAGCATAGCATTAACACTGGTATCTTAAGCAAACTGATTTAGTTAATTAAACTGTGGTTGTTTTATTCTTCCTGATGTTTTAATTGCTTGGAGCTTTCCCTGCAGTTTTAACTTGCTATGCAGCACTTTATGAATTGCTGAAAATCCCCAGAGAATCAATGTTTTGGCAGTTAACAGAATGAAAGTCTTCTGCTGACTTCAGATTCCTCAAGACAAAGGAAAAAGGTACCACCTAAATATTAAAATTATTTGAATTAAAGTAAAAAAAAAGCATCAGAAAGCATCCTGAGTGTACTTATACTGTAAAACATTGCAGGAATTTGAAGAACACCCAAATATAACAAGGTTAGGCTGAGATGAGATTCTCTTCCCTATAATCATCCTCATTAGCTTCCCTAACATTTATGTGCTAGGATCAGAAAAACAGTAATTAATCTGATGTCTTGCAAATGTTGTTTTAAACATACTTCTAGTTTTGACTCAAATTAGCTCATCTAGAAAACATTTACTTGAACTTGTGTGGAGCTTTCAGGCCTACTGTTCTTAAAGAAGACATCTGACTGCTCAGGATTCTGATCAAGTACAAAAATGCACAGACAGCAAGACCCCTGCTTGCTCAGTAATGATGCTTTTGTCACAGCTCTGAGTCTCCATAGTCATTAAGACCCCATGGTATTAAGAAAAGAGAAACATTTTGCTGATATTGCTCTCATAAGCTGACACACTAATTCAGATTTAAGTTACAACATGGAATTCAAGACATGAAGCAGCACTGCCAGTCAGAGAGAGCTCAGCAGTATTTAAAAATGCTGCAGTGAAGAGAGAGATCTGTGTATATTTCACATTTGTTCATTTTATTCACATTCCTCAACAGCATCATACTGACACAAGAACTGTGGCTCAAGAAACTGGAGAACATGTTTCATTGGGCCAAGGGGTTGAACAAGTGAAATATTTTTTATTGTTAGTCAGGAAAAAAAGAAGGTGCACTTTCAAGCTTCAGGGAGAGTTTAGTTACTGGGAAAACGTGCATTAACTTGCAGAACCCATGAAGCAATAAACCCACTTTTACAACCCAATCTACAATATTTTTGTTATGGTGGTTTTGCATGTTTTAACTTAACCTCATCCTTCCAGCAGCATTAAAGGCAAATTCAAAAATGACATTCAGAGCTTGGAATTCTCATGGTTTATGCAAATACCATCCTCACACTGTATCAGGAGAGGTTTAGATGGAAAACATTTGGGTTGTCAATCACTGGTACAGACTACACAGGGAAGTGGAGGAATCGCCACCCTTGGAAGTGTTCAGAAATCATCAGGATGTGGCACTTAGGGACATGGTTTAGTAGTGGACTTGGTAGTGTTGGGTTAACATTTGGAATTTATGGGCTTAGAGGTATCTTCCAACCTAAATGACTCTATGAATTTCCTTCCTGCTGACAAAACACCGATTTTGAACAGCAGTAACTTACTCTGCCAATTTATGTCCACATTAAATTAAAGTCAACAACAACAAAAAATAATCCCAATGTGTTTCTGCAGACCAGAACCAAGGCACTTATTACCATATATGTTACTAAATCTTTACCATTTATAGGAAGCTATTTGCTTTTCCTATCCAACTGAACACTTCTGCCCAAAATTCTGCGCAACACTACAGCACCTTTGAAACAACTGCAATATCAGAGATCACAACGATGCTCATCAGCCAACACAGATCTCCTCCCTTTAGCTGTTCTGTGGCTAGTTAACACTTACCATACATCTCATCTTCTAGGCCATGAACAAAAGCCCCACAAGCTCCTGATTCAATCAAGTTCACAGCACCAGTATCGATCTCCTCTTTGGGAGCATCATCTCCCCACTTTCTGCCACTTGAAAACTCCCCAGAGCTGTAGAGCTCTTTGGCTCGTTCATGTGCAGTGCGCTTCCTCTGTCCAAAAAACCATTGCAGTTACAACCATGTAAACTTCAAAAGGTGATTGAACAAAATATTAAACTGGATCTGAAAACAGACATAGCTGGAGGCTTAGACACTGACACACATGCAAGTGCTAAGAAAAGCAAACAGTACCTACTCTTCTATGGCTATTTCTAACTGCCAATAACTCTCTGTAGTTTTGATGTAGGGAAAGGATAATAACAAATACATTTTAATTAACATATTCTTAGACATTGTAAGAACAGCCAAACTGGGCCAGAACATAGGCCCATCTAGCTAAGAAGGCAGTAAGTGATCTGCAAAATGCTATCACTTTGCAGTTCAACTTGTAAAACTGCAATTAAATACCTTAATGCTATCAATACTATCCAGAGTTCAGCAATGTGTAAAATGGGATATTCATTCAGTGTGCTTGCTAGTCTGCCTCCTTTTCCCGCACACTCTAAATAAAGCAGTGCAGCACTTTATTTAACAGCCTTTACAAAGCAGCACACAAAAACCAGCAGCTCTTTTTTTTTCTTTTGTAGACAGAAAAAAAATTAACATAACCTTGAGCATGTTCCTTAAAGAAGGAACATTAATGAAAAGTTTTGCTCACAGGGCTGAGTAGACCTTTAGCTACTCATGTTTCTTGAAATGTTGATGTTTTTTCATCAGATGTTGCAGGATGTTTCCAAGAGCTTGCTCCTAGATCTAGGATGCAACCTTTCCATACACAATAGGTAAAGCTTTCAGCCAAAACACAACACCATAAACATTTAGCTTTCAGTTGTTGCAAAACTTGAATAGCCTAGAACTGTTTCTTACATGCTTGGTTAATGAAATCTAAAATTAGCAATTGCTTAATTGACTTTAATCTAAAACAAAACCTGTCATCATCAATTAACTCTCAGCAGCCCTCAGGCAAGGACAAGGTGAACAAGCACACTCCATATTAACATACCTCTTGTGTGATTTTAGTACCTGTACACAGGAAAACAAACCCAAACACTTACATACCCTCAGATCTGACATGAGCTTCTTGTCAAGGGTCTGCTCCAAGAAATGGGAGCTAACTTGTTGCATAGAACCCTAATGAAAAAAAAAATCAAATGGAAGAAACAGGATTATTCTAAATTGCATCATGTAATTTCCTGACTTATCCCAAAAGGGCATCCAATCTTATCCACTCATTCCAACAGCTTTATGTAATACCTGACACTATTGTACATCAGAGTCTAAAAAAGTGAACTTAAGAATCACAACATCTTATTTTCCCACTGAGGTTAATGTGGCTTTCCTTGAGTTCAGTTGGTTCACATGTCCTGTGGTAGAGAAGTACAGGCAGGAAATTATCACAGGGATTTGTTTTTTTCTTTAATGTTCAACCATCTACTCTTAAGGGAAGAATCACAGTACAGTTGAGCTGAAAAACTGTTGGGTTTCCTCAACCTCCCTCATTTCTTTCACCTCAGAATTTTGGGAGAAATTTACTTATACAGTTTTAAACATCCTCCCATTCTTTTTTTTTTTTTCAAACATATATGAAAAGTCAAGTAACTTAAGAAAAACTATTCTCTGCTAGAGAAGAAAATAATGCAACTTACCAATAACTTTGCAGCTTGTACTCTTACAACCCAGGAACCATCACTAACCATATGGCAAATTTTTCCAAAGGCATCATCAACCAAGCGAATTTCTTCATTAGAAGAAGGAATCGGGACGATGCTGACATAGAGAAATCAGTTTGTTAATTGTATTCCATACTGGATGGCATCAATAAGAAACAACCATGCTGATTTCCTATCAATGTTCAACAAATACCAGGAACCAAAACTTCACTGCATCAGCGCATTCTCATCAGGCATCAGCCATTTGCACACATCAGTTTGCTAACAGCTCCTCCTCAGACCTACTGGCACAAAACTCTCAGGATTAGGATGAGTACTTGACCAGTACTTTGAGGACAGTGCATGCAGGACATACCTTTCAGGGTAAAGCTGGCTGAGGACCCAAATCAGCTGAACTGCAGCACTGCGCACTTGCTCGTAATCATCTGCCAACAGCTTGCAGGCCTGAAAGAACATTTACACCTGAAACATCTCCACCTGAGCTGTCACTCACTTCCCACAATGTCAGCAGCATCCTTACCACAAGACAGTTAGGACAGATTAAAAATCAAAATGAATCCAGTCGTCCCTGCTTTCCAAGTTTGATCAGGCAGGCTAGATCTAATGAAGTCAATCAGGCACATGTTATAAACTCCAGAATTGCCTGTACTATGCAAGAAGGATGAAATGTGAGTCTGCAATAGGACTGATTTGATACAGGCTGCAGCTGCACAGCTTTACTGATATAACAAATACAAGCTTCATGAATACTCTCCAATGAACAATGAACAAAGGTTTAAGACTTCCAGACTATGATTGCCAGATGCCAGGCATGACTTCATCATGCCTTGCCCTTCCCATGATCACCTCCCCAAATAATATATAATAAAGCAAATGCTTTAGTGCATTTAAGCACAATGAATGCAAAATAACCTTTTATTTCCACTGTTATACAACAACAAGGAATATCTTCAACCTAAGTGTGAAATACTCCTCCTCTGCTCAGTACCCTCCTCCTCACACAACACACTGCCAGAGAACTCAAAGAGAAAGACGTGCAGACAAGTACAAAACAAATGCAAGGTTTTACCTGACTATAAATAGCTTGCTGTAACTTTAGTCCTCTTTCATGAAGCTGTAGCTACAGGGGAAAATAACAAAACAATGCAAGAAAGTGTAAGTACATGTTAAGGGACACAGACTAACTTTTCTCAAGTTTTTCTGTTTGAGCTGCTATAATTAAAATACTGCATTACCTTGACAGTAAGTATCTTAAATAATATTCTTGACTTCAGTATAATTTTTTAGCTTCATAGTCATTCATACTTAGATTACAGAAAAACAATTTACACAAATACATTGCCTGTTCATTCTCCCAACCTTCAAATAATTTTTAGTGTTAGCCATATTCAACCATAATTTAAACAGATAATTAATTCCTTTATTAACATTCCTGAAACATGGATCCAAAAGTAGCATTTACATGGCATGAAAACATTGGCAATATTTCTGTTACTGAACCACAGGGACAGCAAAGTGTCCTACATTGTTTCTTTTTAGAAGGATGAGTAAGTACAATGTCCAGGAGAGGGAGATTTCAGAGAGATTCAAGTGCAATCTGATCTCAAATGCATCCTCCTTCTTTCTCTGGAGTTTAATAACATTAATTCAAAGATCCTTGTTGACTATCACATTAGATGGAACATTATTATCAACTTTAGGGGCAATAGAGAAACTTCTGTATCCCCATACACTCGCAGGCAACTCACATTAAAGCATTATTTTGAAATGCATGGTCTTTGCTTGCATTTCTGCAAAGCTAAAAACGTCAGAAGGGTCCCCACACACACACACACAAAAAAAACAGTATAAAGTATATCTCATGAACAGTTAGAGAATGCTAATGAATGTAACCATAAAGCAAAACATAAAGGTTTGATTTAAAACAAACAAAATTCCTTCTGGACTTACCACACAGGTTTCCTACCATAAGCAGATACCTACTGCATTTTGGAGCACTAGTGGTTTATTCTGGAAACCAACACTAAATCAAGAAATGAATTTGTCACTAAAAGAAAGAACCCACACACACAAAAGAATGAACAAGTTGAAAAGCTTCTTCAGCTATACCTGAAACAGAAGTTATGAATCACTCAAATGCCCCCTGAGATCTCATATTACTCTAATATTTCAAGATCTAGCTTATTTTTTCAGGTAATTTTGATACACTGAACAGGCTTTTACTAAGTTAATTAAAATAATCTCTAAAACAAACCTCTTTGTGTTAGTTTGCAGCCCTCTCTCAGCATCCTGATACAACCCCATACCATTTCTTCCACAATACCAGCTACACTTACCATGGCTTTTATAGCTGCAGTCCTAACTCGAGGGTCCTGATCATTAAAATGATCTCCTATTATCTTCTGGACATCTTTGGCTGCCTGGCTTTCAGCCTCTTTTGCAATGCCTTTTTCCACAGGGCCAAGACAGCCAATTAGCTGAAGACACTTATTCCTTACACCATGAGAAGAATCTGTCAGATGCTGGGGAACAAGAGACAAGCAGATGTAACTGGATTCTTATGGTTCTTTCAGTCCTTTGAAAGATAGTGCTGTTTCCTAGAAGTTATTAATGTTAGTATTGTAACAGTTTGTTGAGAAAAATGAAAATAATTAAAATACTGACTATCTTTTTTTCTTGTGGCAGTGACAAAAGTTTCCTGGCCCAGAGAGGCCTCCTTACCTTGCAGGCTACCTCCACCAGCCTCATCCTGACAGATGGATTCTCTGGGAGTTTTGTGCCAATCACTAACAGGGTGTCCAGCAGCTGAGCAAGGACTTGGTGAGACTCTGCAAAACAGAAGAGTGAAAGGCTATGCATTATTTTGCTGAACTCTTACCAGCCACAGGATCACACACTGATCCACATTGGAAGGCCATCCTGAAACTTTTCAAGGCCTGAACCAGCCCAGCTCCCTCAGCTGAGCCTTGGGACACCACATACTCCAGTCCTCTACCACCTCAGTGGTTGCCCAACCTTACCAGCACTAACCTGGCACTGGGGAACCCAAAACTGGATAAGGTATTCCAGATGTGGCCTGACCAGTGCTGAGTAAAAGGGTATAATACCCTCCCTAGACCTGCTGGCTACACTCCTGTTGATGTAGCTTGATGAGCTGGCCTCTGGCATAATACAAAAAAACTCCTCTTCAAACACATTTCCATTTTAAACAAAACTGTCCTGTAGAACAGAGAACCTCAGAAGCAACAACTCTCAGATGGAGACGCAAAAGCAAATTTTGCACTCCTTTAGAATAAAAATATAGAGCAGACAGGTCAGAGGAACACTCTTGTCCCCCTCAGAACTGGTGTTATCTGTCATCATTCACAAAACCAGAAAATAAATACTCTAAGCAGCAATTCCCAATCATACACCTGAGATGTAAGGCCTTTCCACTGTCCCAAATGCTTTGACAGCATGATTCCACCTTGACCTCAAGCACCACATCAAAGTGAGGCTTACTCTCATTCTGAAGGGTGTTAATGGCATCATCCATAATGCAGTCTGGGGAAAATCCTGCAGTCTTTGACAACAACCCCAGCAAGGATGCAATCTTCAGTCTTACAGAGGCATCATTCTCCTGGAAGGAAACAACACCCCAAAAAATCCCCAATACAGCAAGGTTAAAGAAAAAAAAAGAGAACAGCATATATTACCTACATACATCTACTCATTTAAAAACAGCAAATGCTGTCAGAGGTGATAATTACATAAGTTAAGCCCCATCAATTAATATTCCTTTAAAATTAATTTCAAAATTTATGCATTTTAAAGATGTGAGGCTTCTACAGACTCATGCACACAAGACTTCTGGTCATAACTGGAAGGCCCCTCTTTCATTGTATTACCAAGGATATCCAATGCACAGTAGAAAGGCAAAAAGTCATCTGTATGCCATACATGGATCCTGCCAAGCATCTGTGCAACATTCAGAGTTGCAGAAATATTACAGCAACAAATATCCCATATTTCAACAAGAACTTCTACAGTTACAAGTGTTATATCTGTCAAGTGTTCAAGAGAGACTTCAGTGCTACACACAGCCTCCAAGTGACAAATGTGACACCCAAGGCAGCAGTCCCTTTCTCAATTGAACTGAGAAGCATTTTTTATTTTAGAGTTGAAGTTACGTGTTTGAACAATGGATACCATCATCAGGACTGTATGGGGACTGCCCTACCAAAATATATAGGGATGAAGGAGCAGGAGGCTACAGGATCATCTTAAACAAAACAAATAAATCATCACATAACTTCCACTGCAGTTACAGCTTTCAGGGACAGGTTTTTGAATGATCAGGGAAAGGGTGTTATGGAGTGCTAAGAAAATTTTGTCTGTAAGTAAAGCAATGTCAGCTACGATAGTTTTGAAAGCAGTATTTTAAAAGCTGGATTCTGCAACTGGCTGTGCTCTTGCCCGTGTGATCTTGCCTGCAGGTTCATGAGCCTCTCTTCTAATAAAAGCTACAAAACAAACTCCAAGCACAAATAATCTGTGTTATTTGACCAGGAACTCTGTATTTCATGGAATCAGAGAATAATTTATGTTGGAAAAGACCTCTAAAATCAAGTCCAACCCTTCACCCTGCACTGACAAGTCTACCACTAAGCAATGTCCCCAAGTGCCACATCTACCCATCTTGGAAATACCTTCAGGGACAGTGACTCAACCACTGCCCTGGGCAGCCTGTTCCAGTGCTTGATAATCTTTTCAGTGTGGAAAGTTTTCCAAATGTCCAATCTAAAACTCCTTGGAGCAGCTTGAGACCATTTCCTTGTTCTACTGCTTGCTAATTGGAGAAGATACTTATCCCTGACAGTTTTTTTCATAGATTTGACATTAGGAAGAAATTCTTTACTGAGAGGGTGGTGAGATGCTGCCCAGGGAAGCAGCCTCATGCCTGGAAGTGTTCAAGGCCAGGCTGGATGGAACTTTGGGTACCCTGGTCTAACAGAAGGTGTCCCTGCCCTAGCAGAGGGGTCAGAAGTGGATAATCTTAAATGACCCTTCCAACCCAAACCATTTAATGATTCTGTGATTTTAAAAGTGCTGGTTTTTACCACATAAGCAACAGCTAAAAGGTTTCTCCACTGCTAGAGAAAATTAAGAATAAGGTAAGGACACATCACTCAGGAAAGTGTTAGATAAAGCTGAAACAGTTCTAGACAGCTGGGATCCCTGGAAAACCTGACAGGTCTTTTGTCCCTCGCCAAGTTAACTTCCACACAGGCCACGTGCAGGGACAACTTGTCACAGGCTGCTGAAACCATCAGCACAGGGACCAAGTAACACGATCAGAAATCACTTGGGACAAGGGCTACAGCTGCTCACTCTCAGCCCAGGCTGCTGGCAACTGAGTCAGCAACACAGGAGCCTGTGACCCCTGTTCAACATCCCACACCAAGCAAACAGGAGCAGAGGGAGCAAGCACGTTTGGCTCCCAGCTTCACCACCTTGTAATAATGCTCCAGCAGGATCCTGACAACCCCTTCCACGCTCTCCACTTCCACGGGCTTCCTGGCAAACTGGAGCAGGTACTGCAAGGCATCTGCAGGCGAGGTGGCTTTGCACAGGTCCACGTGGAGCGCTGCTGACTTGCTGGGCTTGGTGAGCCGCAGCTTCTTAGTGGACAGGTCCTCATGCTGCTGCTGTGGGCATAGGGACACGGCTCAGAAACAGCAGATCCAGCCCACTCCTTCCCAGGCTGAACACGGCGAGGCCTAAGGAACCTCCCATGCCCACGGCAGTCACTAGCCCCTCCTTCATCTGCCTGAGGAAGAAACCCATTCTCAGACCGCTGTGGCTGTTGTTGTCCTGCCCAGGTAATCCCTGTCCCCTCAAAACACGGCCTCTCCCCACCCCAGGCTGGGTCAAATCCTGCTGCTTCCAACACCAAACAACTAATCCAGGGCAAACACGATTTCTCCCACTCCCACCGGCCTGCAGCAGCCCAGAAATTCCCTCTAGTTCCTTCCCCAGTGGTGGGCTGGGCGATGCTTCCTTTTCCCCGCAGCTGTCCCGGCCCTGCTCAGGTCAAAGAATCAACACAACGGGTCTGGTTGGAAGGGACCACAGTGGGTCATCTCGTCCAACCTCCCTCTCAAGCAGGGTCATCCCACATCACACCGCACAGGTCCGCGCCCAGACACTTTTTGAGTATCTCCCATGAGGGAGACTCCGCAACCTCTCTCCCTGCCCACCCTGCGGGGAACATCTCCCCTAAGACCTCTCCCCTCCGCCAGCTCCACCCTTCTTAAACTCGGGGCCGACCCGTCCCGCTCCTCCCCAACCCCTGAGGGGCCGCCCCAGCCCCGACGCCTGGCGAGCGGGCGGCGCTCCCAGGCTCGGTGCCCGGCTGGCCCGGCGGGCTTCCCCACAGCCTCGCCCGCCGGCACCTCCCGCCACACGGCAGAGCTCGGAGCCGTCCATCCTGGCCCAGGGCGGACGTGTTACCTGGACCACCTTGGTGAACTCCTCATACACCCGCTTCTTCAGGTGCGCCGCCATGACGCCGCCGCGCAACCCGGAAGAGGAGCCATAGAGCTGCGCGGGGAGGGGCGCGGGGCGCGGCCGCTCTTTCCGCCCGGAGGCCGCACTCGATGGTCCGGCGGCCTCCCGTTGCCATGGGGACGCGGGCCCAACATGGCGGTCGCGGCTGGGCCCGCCCGCAGGCCGACCCACCGGCCCGCCCCGGCCCAGGGCGTCTGCCCCGCGCTGTTTCCCTGTAAAGTACGCCCAGGTTTCACTAGTATTCGATTTTAAGCCGACTTTCCCACCTATTTCTGCTTTTTCAGCAAGCAAAGAAATGGCTGTTAATTGGTTCTAAATTATATTATTATTTTAATTAATTAGTATTCTGTCCTCTATTGGTTATTTATTCTTGCCTCTCACGTTAATCAGTCCCCATTTCTCAGTCTTTTTGTTATCTTTTTCCAGGTAGGGAGTTTTGCAGCACATACTGAAGAGTATTTGTTAGTCTCTTGTTATCTTCTGGTTTCTGCAAAATGCCCTCGTAGTCTATAAATTCTGTTTTGTTTTTTTTTTTTTTTTTGCCCACTTACAGAAATACACATCTCTCTCTCTTGCAGGTTTTGGCCATCAAAGCATATCAGGGCTAGTTTAGCAAAACTTAAAAGTTTCAATTTTCCCCATCAAACTCTTAACAATAACAGTTTGTGTAAAGAAACTTATCTACATGCTGGCTAAAAGTGACTTAAGACTAATGCAATGCTAATAAATAATATACTGCTTATGATTAATTAAAATAATTAATTTAAAATAATTAGAAAATTTATTTCCATCAGAATCGTAGAATCATTAAAGTCACAAAAAATTTCTAAAATCATCAAGTTCAACCATTAACCCATCACTGCCAAGCCCACCACTAAACTCTGTCCCCAAGTGCCACATCCATGCATTTTTTGAGCACTTCCAGGGATGGTGACTCGACCAATTCCTTGGGCAGCCTGTTCCAATGTCTGAGCAGCCTTTCAGTGAATACATTTTTCCTGATGATTTTCCTGGCACAACCTGAGGCCATTTCTCTTGTCCTGCCCCTCGCCTGGCTGCACCCTCCTCTCAGGCAGTTGAAGGGAGCAATAAGGTTCCCCTGAGCCTCCTTTTCTCCAGGCTGAGCACCCCCAGCTCCCTCTGCCACTCCTCATGGGAGTTGTACTCCACACCCTTCCTCAGCTCCACTGCCCTTCTCCAGGACACTCCGGGGCCTCAATGTCCTTCTTGGAGGGAGGGGCCCCAAACTGAACACAGGATTCGAGTGTGTGCCAATTAAAGTTTCTCATGGCAGCAGTCCTATAGATTTAGGAGATTGGTTGGTGTGAGGCTTTAACTATTCTCTACTGAGATTTTTTTCTCCTAATATCTAATTTTCATCTCTGTTGTTGTGACTTAAGCCAGTTTCCCCACCCTTAATATGTACACAGTGAAACAGATCTCTTTAAAGCAGCCTTTTGTCTGCTGGGAGGCCTCTTCAATCTCTCCTCTTCCAGGATGAGCACCACCAACCACTCGGTTATGATCATATGAGCCTATTTCCTAAACCTTTTTGTCCTCTCAGACACTGACTGTGTCCATTCTTAACAAAGTTATAAATGTGGGAGAACTCAGAGTCCCGTCACACCTTCAGCAGAGCTGCCCTGCAGCTGCTGGAGTGACTCATGGCTGTCACTGGGGGGAGGTCCATGCTAGGATAAGCACATCTGAAACACAGCTTAATTAGGAGTGGTTCAAATCTGTTACCCTAAAGACAAAAGTTCAGGTCTTTAGAATTCGGGGATCTTGAGAGGGAAAATGTCAGTAAATAAAGCACTTCTGCATCATTCAAAAAAAAGTTTGAAATTTATTTATTTGAAATCCCAGGGACCATCCTATGATTCTGTGGTTATTGTCCTTGACTGGAAGAAATCCGTCTTCTGAGAAGTAAAGGAAATATGGTCTTTATCAAATCAGCCATTATGATTCTCAGAGCTATTAAACCCAAGCCATTTCCAGTATAAAAATAAACTTTCAAATGCTAAGATTTTTTTAAAACACCTTGTAGAATGCAACTTGTGTTCGATAAAAGAGAATTTGCAGGCTATTGCTTCAGTACCACTTCCTTCCCACCAAATCATGGCAGGTTTTCCCAATTCTTCCAGGAGCTTATGTAGTTAGAAATAGCATCATCATAATAATGAATGTCATAAGAAAAAGATTAAGATTGTGTGGTCTGAAAGAGGAGTGTGGTCTGAAAGTGTCCTTAAATTAAAAACTCATCACATCAGTGATGGTATTTTTGCCTTTTGTTGATCCTGGACCGTAGCTGAGGTTGTCTGTCTTTCCTTCAGAATAAATAATAAATAATGGTAATAAATACATTGACTAGAGAGTAGGCTGCCTGCTGGAGGAATAAGAAGCGGTCATAGGACAGTGAATCCTTCCTTTTTACCCAGATTCTAGTGTAGAAAGGCAGGAGATAAACAGCTTTTGCCTTTCCATTTAGAATCCAAATTTAATTTGGTATGTGATACTATCACTGTTTCATTCAGGATTTCCACATATGTGGCCCGTTTCCATTTGCACTGAGAAAGCAACTCTACATGTCCACGAGACATATTTGGGATTATTCCTTTCCCTTAGGTTGAGTGAGGTTGGCTCAATTCACAGATCCATCTCTTTGAACTGAATGAATAGTAAGCAACACTGAAGAGTAAAATTCCTCCTTTTTCTGGAGCCTTTTAAAACTCCTAAAAAGTTATCCCCTAAACCCCAAGTAAAGTGGATCGTAAGTGCTCTTTGATATAGAAAACAGCCAAAGGAGATCCTTTCATTGGCCTGTGTGTTTCTTCTTGTCCCTGTGGTAGCTCATTGTTTAGTCTGCACAGTCCAGGTTAATTTGTTCCAGCGATTGCTTTCTGATGTTCCCTATCAATGGTGACACTTTGCTACCACCAGGTGAACAGGAACTTGTAGAAGAAGTCATGCGATTTGAAGCGAAAACCTTTTTCAGCAACATGGGGCTGAAAGGATATTTTATACCCTTTGGCTTCAACATCCATTTGAATGCAGTCCAGCAGATCAGAAATACTTGGCACAGCCTTCCAGGGGCCAAACTTCACCACGGATTTTTTATCCATGTCCAAACTGTTCAAGGCATCCTGACACCTGGCTGCGTCCTCCTCGGTTCTGACCACACATACGATGACACTGGACTGTCGGGATGCGACCGCTTCCGCCCTCGCGATGCGGATCATCAACTCAATGTTCTCACTGTAGTTGGGCACACGAGCCAGGAACTGCCTCCTCGCCACGAGTTCCCCAAAGATCTGTGGGGAGTCCTCAAGCTGCTTGATCAAAGGCTCTATATCATAGAACAATGCCTCCTTGTAGACGTCCTGGATGCACTGGGTGGGCACTTGGTTACTGCGCAGGTACTCCAGGATGTATTTGAAGTAGGTGCCTGGCCTGTCAATGAAGAACCTCCCTTCAGAGTCAGTCCTGAGTTTGGGCTGGCCGGTGAACATCTCTGCCAGCTTGGAGCCAGGGTGTTTCTTCAAGGTGCTCAGCGTTGTTGTGTACATCTCCCCGCCAACATTTAACTCCACAATTGGTGACAACTGAAAAAATAAAGGGACAAAAAGCCATGTGCATTATCAGTCTGAGGTCATCAACATGGAAGTGCCAAGGAAAAGATAGATGACTGTGGTTGGAGGATGGAATCATGGTGTGAAGAGCGGTATGAGTTCTCATTTTGTGGGTTTCAGATAGGAACTTCCACCTGATTTTTTGCAAAAAGCAGGATCAGGATGCTTATACAGCTCTCACCACCAGAGCAGCAGAGACTTGGACATTTCTACATGCCTAAGTCCTCACCTCATCTTTGGGATGTAGGAAAGTGTCATTTTCCTGGTGGGAAGAGGGAAAAAAAGCACCCTGCCCAGGAAAGCTGAGAGTGGCTATAGGATCCAACATTGATCTCCTAAGCTGCTCACAAGAATTGTCCCTGTGGGCCACCTACAGCAAGAGCAGTATGTGAGCTCTCACCCACCCCATGTGCAGAGGAACAAAGATAGAGCCCAAAGCTGTGCTATTTCATTTTTATCATCTGAACTGTTCTTTCCTCTTCAAAGGAGAAACTAAAGCTCTTTAAACTTTATAAATAGGTGGAATTGGCTTCCACTCATCTGGAGGTTCAGCTGCAAACACTGAAGTAAGAAACAAAAATCCATCATGTCAGAGGTGCAGGACAGAAGCTGTTTAGCAAAGCACCTAAAATGTATGATGGCTTTAGTTAGGAAGTAAAGGAAATAATTCATGCAACTGACTTGGACTTAAAATGGAAAAATGTAAAGATTGTGTGCTTGCTTACATTTTTTTAACCCTCTGTATTAACACCATTGTGAGAATTGAAGAAGACCTGAATACCTGGAAAGATGGACTTTTTAAATTGACCTTCCTGTATGTTCAGTTCTGAAAAATTTTACTAGCTTCCCTTTGCACCTAGTCATTTTATGTAGTACTCAGCAGATGAGAAGAAAAAGAAAGAAAGAAAGAAAGAAAGAAAAGTTCTTTTCCTCCTGCCAGCACTACTGTAATGCCAGGGCCACACCTGCCATTGGGAAGGCGTAAGTCAATACACAACCCTATTTTCCAGGAGCTCACCTGCACTTTCTTGGCTCTGATCATGAAAGGAACTACCTCAGTGCTGCTGGTCACATGCCTCAGGTGAAGCATGTACCTAAGTGCTTAGCTGGATCACATGGGTACAGACCCACGGGGTGACGCGAGCTGATCTCACAGCGCACACCAAGAGAAGGAGGGGCTCCTGTGCCCTCTCCCTGTCCTGTTCTTGTACCTCTCTATGTGCTCTCTTGCTCACCTCATTCCAGCTCTGCTTCTCTTTCTTCTTAGTGAGCTGGATTGGCTGACAGAAGATTTAATGTGCACAGAGCTGACAAAAGGTTGGGACTGGGAACAGACAGCCTGGTGCAATGGGAGACCTTCCCGTTAAACAGGAGCAGATTATCAGATTTAGCAGAAATTTGTTCACGCCCTA